TAGAAGGCACATTTACTCTGCAGTCACCTAAAGTATCTAGTCTATAGTCTTTCAGGCATTGCCTCCACCTCCTAGGAAGGCCACACTCTTCTGGGCCTCACTTTAGAGAGGTAGATTTGCTCAATTTCCCACAAAATAGCAGGTCACAACATTTACTTAATCTGTTAACTACTAGCATTAAAACAATAATAAATACTCAGTGTGTTGCATATAGGAAAATGTTGAAAAAATAACTTATCTGTGTGTGCACATGTTTGCATGTGCTCTGGCATAGCTATGTGTATACGTGTACCTGGTGGGACCCCTCTGGCCATCCCTTCCCCCATGCCCGTGTAGCTAGCTGCCCCTACTATTTTTGGACTGGATGAGCCACAGTCCATGTTTGTCTGCTCTGATTCCTTTTAGACCCTGGCTGACTATGGGCCCAGGATGCTCAGACCTATTGCCACAGCACATCCTGGTGACAGTCCCACTGTAAGACCCAGCACTGTTACATGAATTACCTGGCAAGTTTAGTTGTCTGGCTTCAGATGCAGTTCTGACATGAATGCTTGTGCAGACCTATCCTCCATCTGCCCTTCGTCTCGTCTGTACCCAACCCAGAGACCACGCGAAGCACCACATACGCAGACCCCTGGTATTGGTGCAGGCCCTGAAGGCCCGCAGAGTTCTGGAATCCATTTCTGGTGGTATAGGTGGCACCTCTGTGTGAAAACCCACTATCTGAGCCGAGAACCCAGAAAGTAGTTTTTCTAAGGTTTTTCGGGGGAAGAGAGAGAGAGAGAGAGAGAGAGAGAGAGAGAGTGTGTGTGTGTGTGTGTGTGTGTGTGTGTTTGAGGTGAGATTTCACAATGTAGTCCTGGCTGGCCTGGAATACTCTATGCAGACTAAACTGTCCTAAAACTTGAAGAGATCTGCCTGCCTCTGCCTCATGACTGTAGGAATTAGAGGCATGTGTCACATGCAACTTTTTGTTACACACATAAAAATCAACTTATGGAAGTCTCCAGTAACCCAGCTTCTCTCTCCTGTCATTTGTGAGCCATGTCCTGTGCTCATATACATGGGCACCTGTCCCTCAGCCTGGGGCAGTGAGGGCCAGCTGGGCTGTTGGCTGTGCCTCCCTCTCTATGCCCCCCTCAGGACTCTCTGCTGTCTGTATTCAACTCAGAAGAGAAGAGAGCGAGTTCTTGGTAGTCATGCATCCAGCCAAAGCACAGACAACACAGGCAGGAGTCACTCAACTTCATGTCCAGGACTGACTGAATTGGCCTTTCCCTGCCACCTACTCAGGCTTCCTCCCTTCCCATGGCCTCTGCCATCTTGGTCTGGCCTGACCATCTGGGTGCTATTTCAGACTAAGTGTTTGCTAACTCCAGACTTGCTGGGAATTCCTAGCAGAAGCTTTAGATGACCCAAATTTTAGTTGCTGTTTAAATTATTAAATTTCAACTCCACTAACGGTTGATAAAGCGTAGTTTTCCAAGTGGGGTGGGTCACACCTATAATCCCAGAACTTGGGAGGCAGCCTTGAGCTACACTGGAGATTCTAGATCAACCTGGGCTAACTAGCGAAACTATGTCTAAGAGAACCCAAGAAAAGTGTGCAGCTAGACCATTTAGAACACACACATAAACACAAATGCTAAAACTAAAAGAACAGAATTGAAAAACTGTAGGGAAGGATAATCAGTAAATTCTACTAGAACCATTCAGAAATCCAAGGAAAATCACCATGGCCACAGTCAAGATGACTGCTGAAAAGCTTGCAGTTTGGTTGCGAGCTAATCTCCCTGACATTCAAATCATCCTACAGACAAATGGAGGGATTTGGGGGGAGCCAGTGATCCAATAAGAGAAGTTAAAGGTTTACTCACTAACCAGACTGAGAAAGAGTGGTTCTGCCTTTTAAGATGGAGGCTGCCTTCACAAGATTCCTCCCTGGGGCTCCAGCTCTCTGTCCCTGTTGGCTGGCAGCTCTTCCAGAAACAGCTCTCAGCTCCTTTAGAGCTAGTTGGTGTGACAGTGTCCTCTGCCCATCCACTTTCTCACAGCCCTGCTACACCTGGTTAACAGTCCCTCCTACAGGCTGTCCCCACTTGTCAGAGGCTCCCAGCCCCAGCGATGGGAGCAGCTCAAGATGTGCGGACTGCAAAGACTGATAATAGGAGTGTGAGTCACGGAAGGGCCTTGAACGTGTCTTTCAGGATGCAGAGGTGCCTGCTGCTTGGTCTGGGAATGCTGCAGCAGCAAACTGAGCAGAGCAGGAGACAGCACACACCTGGGTTTCATGGCTTTGCGGGTTGTCTTCCGCCTTCACTGATACAGGCACTATCCCTCTGAGTGTTGAGGCACTGCTTGCAGAGTATTGACTCCCTGCCAGTGTCAGGCTAGGAGGGAACTTGAGTCAGTGTGTCCAAGGCAGAAGGGCATCAAAGTCTGTGATCTGGAGGAAGGCAACCCAGCCATCCACTGGTGTATGCTTGTACTGGGGTAGCAGGTGTTAACCTTGTTCTGTGAGGGGATGGATTGTGGGTGCTTGTGAGTTTGGAAGAGAAAACTAAGATGTTCTTTGTTGTCCTGAGAACTAAAAAGAAAACTAAAAGTGCTTGCGTGAGTAGAGACTGGGGCACAGCATCTCTGTGGTGTCTTTTAAACATCCTGTCTTTGGAATACTGAAATGCATGTAGTCCTTGCTGATGAAAAGGCTGTTTTGTCCTGCTCTCTGTGGGGTGGGAGAGACAGTCTGTCCTTCCTGGATGCCATGTTAGCTAGCCTTCAGGGGTCAGAAGATCGGCTCTCTCATTAGTCACGACAATAAAGCGTTTCTAACTGTACGAGAAGTGGAAACGCTGACTTCATGTTGTGAAAGAGCCTCTGTGACATGGCCTCCTGAACCCTCACATAGCCCAGCAGGGCTGCTGGAGCCTCCTGCCCCCTCCTGCCGGGCCTTTTGCTAATCACAAATGGGTCCTGGTGTATGCTCTGTTTCTTCTCTGTGTATAAATAAGAGGAAAGCATAGAAAGGAAAATGAAGGGCTAGAGATGTCACTCAGTGGGTAGAAGTACTTGCCTAGCATGCATAAAGCCCTGGGCTTGATACACTGCTGCATAAACAGACATGTTTCCCCTACCCTCATAGCTGATCATGTACACCAGTCCCAGGTTAACAGACTCCTTGCCTCCTTCCTGTCCACCAGAATCAGGGACATTCTGACTACATACATGTACTGTGGACCGCCCAGCAATCGATGGTATGAAAGCTGACCTTCCTCTGAGGATCTCTCTCTGCCTGGTCTGTCCTCAGAGCTCCATCATCTGCTCTCCGTGTATGGCATTAATAACTGAATAAATCTCTTACCCAAAGAGCAGTTAGTCTCACTGTTCCACCCCAAGCCTCAATCCTGAAGCTTTCTAATGCCCTCTACTCTCAAAATAAAACCTGAAATGCACTTTTAGAATGACAAAAGTCGTAGCAGCTAAGGTATTTCAGCCAGGTCCAGCAGAGCACTCGTATGTTTGCCATTATTAAAAGTGGGTACAGGTATTTTGCTGTTTTGCAGTTGAGAAAAGTGAGGTTCTTTCCCTGGGCCTGAGCGAGTGGCAGGACAGTAGATCCCCCGTGACTGTCATACCAGGGTCTCCTGGCTAGTGCTCATTACCAAAGCTCACAAAGGGTTCTACTGCCAGGTGTGGATGTGGCTAGGCCATTGGAAAGACCTTGAATTAGGAGGAAAAGGAGAGGCACAGACAACCTTGGGAACCGCCGACCCAGTGCCTTGCACATATGGTTCCAGAGTCATCTCTGGACCAGATGACCATGGCCAGGTGCTGCCTCCCTGGCTAGAGCACAGGAAAGCTGATTCTTGATGGTTTCCTAGGGGTTCCCTCACCCCATCTCACTCCTGTGCATTATTAAATTCTGGAAGTCTTGTATAGTGATGTGATTTGCATGGGGCCTAGCCAAAATATCGACATCTATTCCAGGCTACAAATGAATCAAAGGCAATAAAAACAAGAGTAACATGAAGAAACTTTAAACTTTACTGGCTGATACTAAAGCTGTGGTGTAGCATCCACTGATTGGCTGGCTGCTCACTGGCATAGCTCAGACAGCTTGCTGGCAACAGTTGTGACATTGAGAACCAAACAGGCAGAATCTCCTGGTTTAAAAAAAAAAAAAATAATGTGGGTGCTGGAGAGACGGCTCAACAGTTAAGAGCACTGACTGTTCTACCAGAGGTCCCAAGTTCAATCCCCAGCAACCACATGGTGGCTCACAACCATCTGTAATGAGGATCCAGCACCCACTTCTGGTGTGTCTGAAGACAGCAACAGTATACTCAACATATACAAAATAAATAAATCTTAAAAAAAAAAATGCCTGGACACAGAGAGATGGCCATGCAAGGCCCTTGTGGTTGGTGGCTTTACTGCTGTCTCACAGGCAGCGAGTGCCTGTAAGAGACATGGCAAGAGGGTCCTGGCAAGTTCCTGCAGGCAAACCCGTAGGACTGTCTTTGAAAAAAGCATGACCTTTCTATGTGGCGAATGTGAGTGGGCTCTCAGCAGGTGCTGCCAGCTCAGGAGCAGCCTACTGGGGCCTCTCCATAAATCTCAGCAGAGGAACCCCAGCTTGGTGTGAACTCGGAGTTGGCATCTTCCTACATACTGTGTTTCAATTGTTAAAACTGGCAACACCGAGCCAAACATCCCTGTTTGCGTTTACCCATTCACTGTGCACAGCTGCAGTTGCATATGGCACAGTGAAGCTGCTGCCTGGAGCTTCAGGTGCTTTCTGCTACCGTTGGCTGGCAGTCCATGGTACTTGGGAACTCCAGTCCTGGCTTGTAGGAAGAAATGAAATGTGACTGTCGGTTGAGCCACACTGCTACCTGCAGAAGTGCCCCACGCTTGGGTGAAATCACAGCGCAGAGGCTCTGTGTCCTCACATTATCCGGGCAGAGCAGCTTACCAGGCTTCCTGTCTTGTTTCCCCAGGTTCGCCATCGATGGTGTGAACTGATTATTAAGCACAAGTACACAAAGGCATACAATCAGGTCGAAAGGTTCCTACAGGAGGATCAGGTGAGTGTGATCTTCCAAGAGGTGGAAACTGGCCACCATTACCAGTCCCAGGTTCTCCACATCCCTGTCAGGACACATAATCTGAAAGAGTTTTGAAAACTTTGAAGGGCTAGTTAGCATTCGAGGGTCATGGGCAGTTGTGAGCTGACCCTCCCTCAGCGTCCTCACAGAACCCTGTCCTCTGCCCTGGCTGCGATGGAATGTGGCATTAGGGAAGGCTTACTCTAGAACTCTCAGTCCAAGGCCATTGCTTAGCAATGCCATGGGTCCATCCAGTTTGAAGAGGTTCTAACTGCAAGCACAGCACATGTATGAATCATCTGGGAGACCCTTGGATCACGTATTGGGAAATTGGGGATTCACACCATGTCATGCCACGCCAGGCTCTGTGTAGCCTGTGTATTTCTTCCCTTTAAGAATGTCCTAGGGAAAAAAAAAAAAAAGAATGTCCTAGGAAGCAATCTCCTGCCTCAAATCTCAGGCTGTGTGTGTGTGTGTGTGTGTGTGTGTACGTATGTGTGTGTACATGTGTGTATGTGTGTGTCGTGTTCATAACCTCATGTGCTACCTCTCTGGTCTATGGCACATTTGGGGGTCATCCCTCAGGGTACTTCCTATGACGTTTTGTACCTCATGACATGATTTCCCCCATGTTTTATCCCACTCCCAACCCCAGCCTGTGCCTCTGGCCAGCCTGTGTGCAAAGTGCAGACTGATGGGCCAGAGCCACTTTGAGTGGGATGGAGAGTGGGGGTGTGGTGGACAAAAGGACTTTTAACAGAGTCTGAGGACAGGGTCAGCCAGCAAAGTGAGGGCTGGCTATTCCCAGAAAGAAAAGGATGTGACTTTTTGCGGCAGAAATGTCACATTTGCACAATGGAGTAAGGACTGTTTGAGAAAGCAGGAACAAAGCTAAGGGCAGCTCAGTGGAACAGCCATGCCATCCACTGTCCAGGGACCTCCACTCCTCAGCTCTCGCTGGAAAGCACTTTGGAAGCCGACACTGAGGTTTTTATCTTATGCTGCCTTTGAAGCACTTGCATCTGAAACAATGTAACCCTTGGGAATCCATAGAGCAAAAAAGCAGGCAGGGCTTGCAGGATGCAGTCGGCTGTTTTTAATGTTGGCACACTGCGAATTCAAGCCGTTGTAGCATTGCTTTCAGAGCAGAAGAGCCAAGAGTCTGAAAGTTTGGTGGCCAGGTGGTGTCTGTCTTGCCTGCACTGCTGGGCCAAGTGGTCTCTGTGGCCTGGTGACTTGGTGAACGAGTTCATGCCAGCTGCCCTTTGGAGTGCACTGACCTGACAGACAAGGTTTCCCATAGTGACCGTTTTGGGAGTTCTCTGCTCTGCCCAGAGTATTCCTGACAATAGCCACCACGGGACAGGTTGCCACTTGGGCACCAGAGTCTGTTGACAGAATCAATAGAATTCTGTGTTTCTATTATTGGCTTTTGTTTTGTTTTGTTTTTGTTTTTCTTTTGGTTTGGTTGGTTGGTTTTTGGGGGGGTGAATTTTTTTTTTTTTTTGAGACAAGATGGCTCTGGGTGGCTTAGAATTTACTTCGTAGACCAGGCTGGCCTTGAATTCACAGAGATATGCCTTTTCTTCCTCCCAGTGCTGGGATTAAGGCCTGTGCTACCATGTTCAGCTTCTGAGGAGTGTTGATAAGGACAGTGGAGACAGAGTTGAAAGTGAAAACTGCAGCTGGTCAGCTGCATGGCAGCAGGTTCTCCGTCCTTTGTGTTTTTAGACCAGCTTGTGTAAAGCCATACAGACAAGTCCCCATAAACATGTACAGCGTCTAACCCCTTCCCCATTCCTCTCTGGCCCCCATGATCTGCAGGCCATGGGCATATACCTGTACGGGGAGCTGATGGTGAGTGAGGATGCCAGGCTGCAGCAGCTCGCCCACAGGTGCTTCGAGCTGGTGAGGGAACACATGGACAAAGCATCAGCCCAGGTGGTGACCGAAATGCTGTTCTAAAAAGGTAATTCTCTTTCTCCTTTCTCTTCCTAACCACCCAGGTCAATTGGTAAGCCACATGATGAGCCAAGACCACCACAACACCAGAGGGCTGCCAAGCAGTCTTGGGGAGCAAGCAGGGTGGGTCCCCAAGAGCAGGAAGGCTCAGGATTTCTGGAGCCTTCTTCTGGGAATATGGGTGTAAAACAGGCGTCCTGCTGAAGGATAATAGCCCTCCGGCCCTGCTTTAGCCCCCTTGGATTTTGCACAGATCCACAGACTTCAGGGTCAAGGTCAACACAGTGGTCCATGGCCTCACTGCTCCAAGCTTCGGCATGCAGGCATCTCCCCTAGAAGCTGTGTAAACCTGAGACTCCTTGACCTCTTGTCCCCCTGACCTGTAAAGTAGGCAGCAGAGTATTCCTGCCCATCCCCCTTGCTGAGTGACACTTGGTGAGGTAGGCAGCAGGTCTTCTCTGCCCCTCCATCCAAGTGATACCTGTGTCCTAAGGGCAAGTCTTTTTCCATCTTGTGCTGGAACAGGATTTACCCTGGCTCCCAGAGTTCTTGGCTGTGTTGGTACTTGCCCCCTCTGTAGCCAACTTGTTGACCAGTAGTGTAGTTCAGCCACAGAGCATGGAGTTCTGAGACAGGTGTCGGTCGGTTAACGTGTTCCTTTCACAGTCACAAATCATCATCTCTACATTGTTTCCGTTATCGTCATGGTGGTACATATGATGTTTACTTTTGTATATTTTTTAAATTTTACATCAATCACTGTGTTACTCTGTTGTTCTCTGTGATTACTAATTAATATTTAGAATTGTGTTGCTAATCTTAACCCATTGTCAGATGTTAACTTTACATTTTCACATTTCACTTTTACAAAACCCACTTCTGTGAAATATGTTTATTTTATTTATCTGAAAGAACATTTGTGAAGGGAAAACATGTTTACTGAAGTATGACCGTGTTCTTGCAGAAGAGCCGGGGCCCACCATAGTCAAGCAGAGGAGATAGTGGGGTAGAGGAAGCAACTATACAGCCTGCTGACTCCGCACAGCACAAGCTAGGATGGTGGCCTGTGTAGTTCAGCAGACAGTGGGTGCCTCTTCACTGCCTCCTGCAGGCATTCTCTATCTAGAATGTAAGCTAGACATTGTCAGTGTGTGGCCTCTGAAGGTCACTGTAAAGCCAAGGTAATACCACTCTGTAGGTCCCTTGGTCTTCACTTGGGAGAGCCATAGAGTCACACAGTGACTCTTCTAGGGGTATTTTTGGCCTCTGATGGAGGCCAACTTCCTAGCTCCCCTATGAACACTCTGCTGTCTCCCAGCTCATCCAACCAAATGCTTGATCACAGTAGCCCCAGAAATGCTCCCTTACACCATACCCTCAGTCAGACAAGTGCTTCCTATTTGAGGGGCCCAGAGACATCCCAGGCCATTCAAAATCTGCAATTTGAGAACAAGGTGTGTCCCCAGGGTTAAAGGTCACATACTCAGAGCAAGGATGGGCACTAAGGCATTGTCACATAGCTGATAAGTGTGTCCTTTGTCTCCTGGTCCCCTATGCTCCTCCATACAGCAGCAGCTAGCACACCGAAAGACAGCCGGCTGCACTGCTAGTGTGGTGGGCTCAGAGGCGCTATGGAGGACACTCAGCGCATGTGGATGGGAGTGGTCGGGCATGGCGCTGCCCTCACCTGCTCTGGCTGCTTGGGTTCCTGGCATGCTGATTTGTGACTTGAGATTAAAATCACATTGCCAGGGATTACCACGCAACCATGACCTTGGCTGCTCCTGCAGAACCGTGGCTACTTTCTCTCTGCAGTTTGGAGAACAGAGGCACCTTGTGGCTCTTTGGAAACAAAAGAAGCCAACAGCCTTCGAAGATGCTCACCAGCCCTTTAATTATGGCCGGCGATGACCTCTCTAACAAGGTGCAGAGCTTAGCTGATTGGTGAACAGTGATTGGTTTCCGCTTTGTTCACAGTGGCTAAGTTCTGCACCTGAAGAGAAGGTGAGATGGGGACAGTTAACTTGCAGCTGCCAGGCAGAGGCCACTGCCTGGTGGTCACTCCAGAGGAGGAGAGACCAGCCTGCCTCAAGGCTGTGTTGTCAAGAGTGCAAGCAGCGTGCTGACCACCCCTAAATGTGTCTACAGAAAATACAGGTCTACTACTAACTAGTCCACTGTAATGTCAAGTGTATTGGAAGTCACAGAAAACTAAAGCTAGTCGTATCACAAAAGCTGAGCCAACCATGTCTCAGCTGATGCCACACTTGAGGGTGGGGGATGTGGTTCTGTTGTCCTTGCTGGGCGTGGTGAACTCTTTCTTGTATTTGCAGTCCAGGTCTCCATGTCTCCACAGTCGCTGGCAGGATGATGCCCAGGGCACGCCAGGAGGCACTGCCCAGCTGTGATTGGACCCGCCCTCCGGTGCCTACTGAGCTGATATCAGTTCTCATTTCACACACTGGCTCAGTTCAGCAGGAACAGGAGTCGAGCCCTTGAGCAAAAAGCCTACCCATCTGTAAGTGCCTGAGGCAGGCCTCCCACGGAGAAGAAGATGAAGGGCCTGAGTGTCTGGTACCAGATCCAGCCGCAGTGGTATCCCTCTGTATGTGCTCCTGAGGTGGGGATTTGTAGAGTGCAGAACTAACCTTGGAAAGATTGCACCCCTAGAAGCAGATAGAACAGAAGCTGAACGTTTGCCACGTGGTTGAGGCAGAGCATGCCCTGTCATCTGCTGCCCTGAGCAATGGGAGTGCCGGTCCGAAGGGCTCATTCCGTAGAGCTGCCTTTCATTGACCCTCTCTGGGCTTCACAGCCCTGCACGGCCTGGCTGTGACTGTGCAGACCTGGTCCAGGATTGTGAGGTGTGAGAGCTCCAGTCTTGTCCCTATCCTCCCACCAAAGTTCCCTCTCAAGTAGAGGTCAGAAGCTAGGAGGACTTGCAGAATGGCTGTGGTGACTGGGTAATAAAGTTTATTGGTGTTTCCTTCACAGGACAGATCACAGTGAGACTCTCTTTCATATACCTTCTCCTAGCCCTGATGGGGCCACGACTGCATTGACCCTGGACATCAAAGGGAGGATTATGTGGCTGCTAAGGTCATCAGCCCACAGCAGTGGTTGGTCCATCTTGGGCTTCTGGCTCCCAGAGACTGGGCTCCCGTGGCATATATAAAAGGCAGAGCCTCATAAACTGTTGCACCTGGCAGCTGCCTTTGTTCCCAGTGCTAGAGAGACTGAATCTATACACTGGAATTGAGCTGTGACTTTAAGGCAGTCGTTCAGAAGAATGAAGGACATCCCCCCACCCAGGCATATGGAGAACTGGCTGCCTGCTTCCTGTGATTGCAAAAACTGGCTGCCACGCTCTGGGACTGCAGAATCATATGACACCTCCTGTGGCTGGTCCCCAAGGATTCTGTAGAGCCCTTTTGATGTGTTCAGTCAATAGAGCATTCCTGTTTTTGAAAATGCAGGAAAGCCTAAGATGTCTTAATAAAGTACCGGATTTGCTGGTGTTCCAGTTTGCTTCTGAATTTGATGCTCCTTAAAAGCAAGGAAGAACGTGCGTCAGAATAGGCACTTGCCACACATGATCTCCTTTCCTACCTCCAGGTAATGTTAATTCTGAGAAGTCTGGAAGTAAAAGGAAGAAAGTATGGCGCGGGACTCTGCTCTCTTCCAAATGTGGAGTCTCGGCCAGCCTGGTACTAGGGGAGTCTCTGGTGAGACTGTTTTTCTCTCCTTTGAATATTAACATACAGAACAAGCTTTAAGAAGCTTCCAGTTACTGTCTAGAGAAAGGTGCTTGAGACTTCCGTGGGTGCAGTCACGTAAGCCCAGACATGGCTTAGCCATGTGAAAAGGAACCAGGAGGAGTATTCCACTGCCTGGCCAGGCTTCTGCATTCAGACTTGCTGGGTGAGGAGAGCTCTAGGACAGATTGAGAGGAGTGTCCGCAGAGAACCATTGTTTTTCAGAGCCTGGGCTGTAGCAGAGACTGCATTTGGATGGTTGCAGGGGACTTGCAAATGGTTGTGTGCTTTGTATACCACGATGGTAGAAGTATCAAAATGTATTAGTTCTACTTAATCTTACACTGCTTTCTGTGAAGACTTGAAATAAATGGCTGAGTCTGTGGCTCCCTGCTCTCAGAAGTACTCTGGGCTTGCTTAGAGATGGACTAGGAACCACACCCTGTAAGGCTCCTCTGTGAGAACCTCACCATCCTCTGAACTGGAGTGAACAGCCAAGCACTGGTCTGGTCTGGTTTTGTTCTTTGTCCTTGAGAACCACCAAACAGCAAAACAGAGCTGCTGCCTAAGGTGAGTTTTGTCAGAGATCTAGTCCCTTGTCCCTGTAGGTCCCTGAGCCCCGTGTCTGGCTTTGGCTGCTTGGGGTCTTGCCAGTGGGCTTCAGATCAGTGGAGACCACACTGGAACCAGATGCCAGTGCCACAGCTTTGGTGAAGGATCTGTGGTAGAGCTGGCCTTTGCCACCTCTGGCTGGAAGCAGAGCAATCCTATCCCTGCCAAGCCAGGCAGCAGCTCCTTGCCACCCATAGCTGCACCAGAGGCTCAGAAGGCTGTGGGACCAGCCTTCCACTTGGCTGAGAACTCTGAAGTCTAGAAAGCGCATTCTCCATTGTTCCGTGAGCCTCCTGACTTCACAGGACACAGAATGTTGCACTGTTACCTTGTCAAATAGGATGCGAAGCAGGATCTGAGTGAGGAAGAATGTCCAGGGAGGTCTGACCCCTCCTCAGAGAGGTCTTATCCAGGAAGGAGTTTACTCCATAGCATGTGGTCCAGGTGATGAGTCTGCTGGTGGAGGAAGGAAGCAGTCACCCTAGGCTCCTGTCCCAAACCAGATGTGGGCAGCGTGAGAAGCCTCAGGTGAGATGTACACTGGATCCCTGGGTCAGTGTTTGCTGTATACCATGATGTGTAGTGCTTGGTCTTCAGCGCTTTGATGTCTAAGCCAGCCCAGGAATGCCCTGCCTTTCTACTTAGGCAGGGTCTTGGAACCCCTCTAAAGAACTCTCCTGTGCATCACTCAGATGTGAGGGTAAGCCTGTGCTGAAAGCCTTGAAGCCTGAACTTGAGTCTGCTACTCTGTCTGGAGAGACTGTGCTCAGTGGTCGGTCAGGCACACTTGTTGCCAGCACTGTTTTATACCATTTTCCAGCCTCACTTCAACCATTCCTGGAGGAAGCCATGGTTGCCCCTTTTACCTCAGGCCTGAGGAGTCACATAGGTTCTCTGGTGAAGATGTTAGCTTCTCACTATTAAGTAAAGGGTGAGAGGAACCTGATGGGAGTAAACCACTAGCCAACAGGCTGATGCCCCCAGTAGGCAGAGGGGCTGGGTCAGGAGGATCCTCCTGTGATAACCATCAAGAGGTGAGTGGGATAGCAGGAATACCAGCCCCTCGTGCCTGTCACTAACTGCAGTCACCGTGATTGCCAAGCGGATGCCCATCACTTGAGAACAATGGGCCAGGGCTGGGCCAGCCTGTCCTCACTGACCCCACCAGAAATGGCCTCCTACCAGCCAAGACAGCCTAGAGTCAAGCCATCTATCTCTTCTCCAGGGGAGACACGCCCCTCTGTGTTGTCTGTAGATGCTTTGAATGAGGGTTAGAGCAGGCTTCAACCTGAGGCCAGGTCTACAGGAAGGAGGTGTATCTAGATCCTCTGATGTTGACCCCTGGGCCATGGTTCCCTGCACAGGAGGAAACAGCAATGACCCCACTGTGTGTTATTCTTCTGCATAGACTGAATCCACTGTGTGTTGTCCCTCTACATAGACTCTGAACCTGGCCTAGGGAGGCAGCCATTGTCCTTACCACACCCTGATCTGTAGAAAGGAGTTGAGCCCCAGGAAGGGGCAGAGGGTGGCTGGCTGGGAGCCCACCATCCTGTTCATGAGGCTTTGGACAGAAGCCAAGGGAGAGGTCCTGGGAATTCTGGCTGGACCCAGGCAGGAAGAATGGAAGGGTGGGGTTGAGAAAGAGTCTCAAAAAGGACTCTGGATTTTCTGACTCATCTGCTTCAATAGAGCTGTAGGATTTTAAAGCATTTTTTTTTAACAAATTTCACATCAAAAGAATGAAATAATCTATACCCTAGCAAGGTATCCTTGCTTGTGGTGAACAGAAATGTCACAGAATGTCCCCAGGGTTGAAACCAGAAATAGCAGGTATCCCAAAGTATAAGCCATCCCTACCAAATGAAGAGAGGGTCCATTCCAGGCAAGTGCCAAGTTCCTACCAGTTTTTTCTCCCAACCATGGCTCAGCAGGACATGGCCACACAAGGCCAGAGAGCAGCCAACCAGTAGGGGACGTGCGCGCGCACACACACACGCACACGCGCACACACATGCACACGCACGCACAGGGACCTGTTATTCACAGCATTACCTTTGCCACAACTCCAGAGCAGCTGTGGCCCAGTGAGCAACAGAAAGCAGTACTTAGAGGATTGGGATCTGAAGGATTCACACGCAGGGTTCTTGCTTCAGTCTAGCTGGTCACCACCAGGTTTGTATGTAGATGGAGCCAGCCAGTAGAGGAATGGCATTGGCCTGGTAAGGGAAAGGAGAACACCCTGCCCCAGCTACACCTCCCAAGTAGTCCTGTGGTGGCCTTAGCCTGCTCCCTGAGTGCCTGGGCTGCAGTACCCATTCCCACAGCATCTAGACACCTTGTTGGGACTTAACAGTGTTTGCAAAAGCTGGGTGCTTAGCCAGCCCCTTGGAACACTCCCTCCCTAGAGCATTTCAGTCTGAGCCACCATGGGGTTCCCTTATTCAAATGAGCCATCAGGATGGTATAGCAGCCCTCAAGTGGAGACAGGGCCCCAGAGTGGCTAGCCTCATCACATCTCTGAGACTCCCAGGGCTTGGAGTGGGTGGGGAGTGTCTGGACCTCCCAAGAAAGGTTGCAGAGAGTAGTCTCAGTGAGGGGCGTGAATTTGCCCTAGCAGCAGTGCCTTCGGGCCCCTTGGCTGGTCTGGGGGTTTACGAGGTGGGAGGGAGGAGCAGCCATCCTGCTATTCAGGGCAAGGTTTTATGACCCCCTTCCCACCCACTGGTGCTGTGGAGAGATTGATGAACTAATAAGGCAATTTTCTTCCAGACCAATGACCAGACTGTGTGAAAAGGAAGGAGGAGACTTGGGCAAGCTGAAGAAGTTTCCCAGGACAGGGTGGGCTCCTGAGAACCTCACCTCTTGGTGTTGGCTTGTGTCCCCTGTGGGAAGACTGGCCAGAAAGAAGCCTTGCCTTGGAGGCTGATCCCAGAGACAAAAGAAGCACAGTCACCAGAATGTGGCCTCAGCAGCTGGTGACAGCCCCAGAAACCTGTCGTGACAAGATGTGTGTGCAAGCTTGGGTTGGAGATACAACGCCCTTTCTCTTAAGATGGCTCAGAAAATCAAACCTGGCCATTTCAGTGCTATGAAATGAATCAGGCTTGGGTTGGTTTATCAGCCCCAAGGACAGAACAGGGATGAGTATGAGACCTCTCCCATCTGTCCGGGGTCTGCCACTGCCTCTTGTCTGTATAATGACTTTACCTAGGCACTGGCAGGGTAGAGGACAGGGAGCATGGGGTGGGCCCCAACAGACTGTCCATTCCATGGCATTCCAGGAAAGCTATCTACCAGGGAGGTGACAGCCCAGACCATGTTCTGTCCTGGCTACATAGCTTACTGTGGCTGTGTCTGGACACAGAGTGGCTGTGTGCTCTGGGGCTTTGCATTTCTTAAGCCACCTTTGTCATTTTACCTATAATTTCTTTCAAGCCTCCCTTAGAGCCTGGCACCCTGCTGCTGTGCTGACCGAGTAGTCAGGAGGTGCTGCAACCACTCCTAACTGTAGCACTCAGAGTCCCAAGTTCTAGAAAATTCTTTTCCACTCTGGTAGGTTCTTTCTTGCTGCCTACTGTCTAGATGGAATAACCTAAGGGAGAAGTGTAGCCTTCTAAACCAGGTGGAACTTCAGGCTTTGAAAAGCTGGGGGTGGGCCTAACACAGCCTTACCTAATCCCTCACCATCACGCTCCAGTGTTGAAGTCTCTGGAGGCTCAGCAGTGTGACCTGTGGAGAATGGAGACAGCTGTGCGGTTTGCCCAGGGGTGAGAGGCTTTGGATAGTGGTTTATGTTGAGTTATAAAATGCAATAGTGATTAATGGTAAAGAATTGTAGTTGTGATTTTACCTGTTGTGCTATGTCCAGGAAGAGGCAGGTACAGAGGAGGAGGTCTCAGCAAACCTGGAGGTTGGAGGTAGAGTAGGATGGTGACTGCACAAAAGCTGGGTGTGTGGCAGACAGTGCTCAAGTCCTCAGGATACATGTCAGAGCACGGCTCCAGCTGCGGAGAGTACTTAACTAGAAACCTCTATTCAGATGCTGGACTGTAAGTACTGCGTGCCACCATGCTGCTAAAGCACAGGGGATGCTGATGTCTCCTCCCAAGTCACAGATGGCACTCCACCTGTTTGGCTCAGCACTGTTTGGCAAAAGCCCTCCTCAACCAATCAAGAAGCTGCCCTCATTCCTTCCTCCTCTTCCCTCCTCCCTCCATTTTCTCTCTCTGTAGATCAGACATACACATAAGCAGAGACCTGCACAGCTCCCCTCCCGTTTTACCTGGGCTCTACCTCAGCCAGTCACTGTAATAACACTCGTTCCTTTGTTACCCACGACAGACATTCTCCACCATGGCCCAGCAAACACACAGACAAGCACACAGCCTCACAGCCTCCCAGAAGCAGCACAACAGCCATTGTGTAGTGTCCTTGAGTGTTGGTTCAGGGCCCTCCACAAATTCCAAAGACTGTGATACTCAAGTCTGTATAGAAGATGTGTTCACATTGCCAGACCACACAGCCATGTGCAAGCCTCAGGCTTGCAGAGTAACTAAGAGTCATCTCTCTAGAGCTTGGACCACAGATATGCATCACCACGCCTGGACTCCTGAAATCCTGGTAATGGCCCAACTTACATAGACGGGGCCTTCCCCCTAAGGTTAACTGCACCAAATAACCCTGGCTGTTCTGTGTATACAAGTCTACTAGCATCTGAGGAACTCCCCATGTGGTCATTGGGATCCAAGCCATCCAAAATGGGAAGGGGACACCTAAAGCAGGTGTGTATTACAGGGTGGATGGAACTATAATTTAAATTTTAGTGGTTTTATTGTGGTAAAATATTCACAGCCTAGAATTCACTGCTCTGGTGTTTGGAGAGCACACTTCAGTGCCATGTCTAATCGCTTGTGACCACCACCATCTGTGTTCTGAACTTTCTCTTCCCAAATGGAATCTTTTTTATCCATCGGAGACTAACCCCATCCCTGCTCTCCCAAGTCCCTGGTGGCATCAATAGACTGTCATCATAAGTCTCTCTGTTCTAGGGATCATGTGTGAATTTTATAATATCTTTGTGCATCTGCCTGTCTGGTCTAGCTTAGCATAACATCTTCCATATTTCTTCACTTTAATTTTTAAATTTGTATTTATAATTACCATGCATATGTGCATAATTCTTAGAATGAGTGGGTGCACATGTGAGATCAGGGGTCTTTCCTTCTACCTTTATGTGGGTTCTGCAGAGATGCTCAAGTTGCCAGGCCTGTCATACCTTCACCTGCTGAACAATCTCACCAGCCCTCTTCCTTTTAAAGCCAAGTGATGCTGTCACTTATATACAGCACATTTTATCACAGTCTGGACACAGGTGTACAGAGTCCCCCTGAATGTCTACCTTACGTCCTTTGGGGTAAGTATCTACAGGTGGATTCTGGATACAGTAACTCTGTTACCATGCTGTTCCTAGGACCTGCACACTCTATAATGTCTGGCACATGGCCATTTATAGTCCACAATGGCCCTGCCTGTCTGCACTCCCTGTCAGAGCTTTCAACAGACTGCACAGGATGAAGATATAATTGTATTTGCTAGCATTTCTTAACACCATGCTAAATTCTTTTTCAGTGTCCCTGAAAGCCATTTGTATTTTCCCCATCACATGCAGTGTTTTAACCTGGTGCTCCAGAATAGGAGAGGCAGTGTGGAAGCCCAGGCCCTGTAATAGGTTTTGTGTAAAAACCTGAGAACCAAACCATAAACCACAAATTCCAAGTAAAAGGTCAGAAAACTGCTGACTCCGAACACGAAGTGTCCTGTTTGTGGGAAACTGTCCACCACAGGCTAATCTATTTAAACAACTTGGTTCTCAGCTGCTGGAAATTTCTGGGATGGAGAGAGGCATGGCTTTTGGATCAAGGCCACTAGGGCAGGTCCTGAGGGCCCTTCTGCCTGTACCCTGCTTCCTGGTGCCCTGAGAGGTCTCCACACAGGTTCCCACCACAGCAGAAAGCTGTCTCAGCCCAAACTCCTAAGCTGCTTTAATAACAAGTCCCTCTGAACTATGAGCCAAGGAAACTTCCTGAAATTTTGTCTGCTCTGTGTTTTGTCCCAGTGCTATCTGGAAAGTTGATACCTGGCAGGACAGGAATAGGAAATAGGAATCATGCTGGGTAGGGAGAAGGCCCCATGTGTCACCACTTGGAAAGATGTCAGGGGTCCAGTGTATGGAGAGCTACAACCAACCCATGGGTCAAGGCATAAAGCTTGAGACCTGACTGATGGTAGGAGCCATGGGAGGGCACTGGCAACCTTGGCAGGTGCAGTTCCCTCATCTCCAGTGTTTAAGCCATTTATATCCGGACCCCCCCCACACACACACACACCCTGTCTGCTGTGACTAGGGCACGTGAAATGCTTGACTGCCCTAAAATCTTGCTTCTAGAACCTTCTTGGTCCTTCTCAGAAGTTCATTCTTCCACATGTGTTTTGGTGTCCAGTTGTCTAATTCTACTAGCATCTACTGGACCTAATGTGTCTCTCAGGCAGGACATCTTTCATGAAGAGCCACCTGCTCATAGCTGTGGTCCTCTTCCAGGTGTGGCATTTGGATGTATGGACATGTTGGTTCACAATATTGGGGGCAGGGTGCTTGTAGCATAGCCCCACAGCAGAATATGGCAACCCATAGTGCTGGTTATGCCTCATTTGAGAAGGACATTTTACCAGTGTCCCCTCTGCCCACCCTTGTGGTGTTGGGTTGTTTCCTGGATCTGAATGAGGCTTGGGGCCTCCCTAGCTGGAGACCCTTCCTGTCTTCTGAGCCACTGCTGTGGTGTCAGCTCCAGACCTGCCTTCCTGTCACATGCTTGGAGGCAGGAACTGTCTGAAAGAAGCAGGAACAAGGCCTTTGTCTCTGCTGGAGCAAAAGACCCAAGCCAGAGTTGCCTGATGGGTCTGCAGGCTGGTACACCAACCCTTAGTTGGTTTCACACCCATTCCCTTCCCTGTTGCTTGCAAAGGAGAGTCCTGGTGGGCCCCTATAGACTTCATGCTGTGTATGAACCACCAGAGGACAGTGAGAGTTTGGTCATTTCTACAGAGAGGTACAAAGCTTTCAGTATTCTTGGCACGTATCCCCAGCCACAACCCAGGTATGTGAGGTATATGCCCAGGACAAGAGGAGCATGCCTCATGAGGAGAGGTTCATCTGGCATGGTGCTGGTGTATTCTTACTGTTGGGTTGGAGTTTGTGAAATGGCTTTGTGATGACTATGTGACTTAGAGTGTTTTCACAAAACAAAGGCTTCATGTTAAAGTCCAGTATCCAGCTAGGAGCAGGACCTCATTCTGGATGAAAAGGGAAGGAAATTCATTCATTTCTCATCTTTCTCCGGTTGCAGTTGTTTTGGATTCCTTGGCCACTAGAAGGTATCTTGGCAATTGTTCAGCATCCCTTTCCCTGTGTCATGGGACTTGTCTCTGTCCCTGCTGCTCCAGATGTTCCTCCCCAGGCCCCTGGACTTCGGGATCATTAGGTGGAAATAGGTTAAGAAGTTACAACACCATTACATCTCCTTTGCTGGCTGCCTGGAGCTCAGACAGAAGGCTCCTCCTTGTCTGTAGGCAGATGTCCTGGTATGCCACGACAGGTGACTGAGCACCCAGGAAGCTGACTCAAGGTGCTTGGCATAGTTCACCCAGACAGGGTGGGCTGGGTCCTAGAGAAGCAGAGAACACATAATTCCATCTTTCCTAACTGCTGAGGGTCACAGATGTGCGAACACTAGGAAGAAAGAATGGCTGTGTGTGTGCTCTGTTTTTCCATTCAGGATGGAGAGTAACTCAGCAGCTTTGTCTGAGGTAAGTGTAGGTGTAATCAAGTTTGGCTTACGGGAAACGGGAAATAACTCTGAGTACACATACAACTATCTGACCTCTGGACATTCTCCCTTGTTTGGATCCCAGCTTATCCAGAGGTAAGTCATAATTGATCTTTTCCAAGCCAAGGCTAAGGTTTGTGAGACCTGTAGCTTCCATATGTAGGAGGGGGAAGGTCTGAATATAAAATTAAGTACAACTTTTTATTCAGAATGACAAGTTATAACATACAGTTCCACTCCACTGTGGGCCCATTGGCAGGTGGGTAAAAGATGAATCCACTGCGTGTGTGTGTGTGGTCAGTGTTTCGCCTGGATGTGCAAATCCAAGAGAAAACTCAGGCCCTTCCCAACTTTATGCCACAAGCTCTCTACACAGCCCCTGAGTGCAGCCATCAGATGTCCTGCTGTGAGGGCTGAAGCTGATCTGCACATGGGACAAGGGCTCTCACAGCAGATCTGCAGGAGGGTCACAGCATGGAGTTCTCTCTGCCTGCACACTGCTTACTTGTGTACATTCTCACTAGAAACCCAACAACAGACAAGCCCGTCATTCACTTCCCATCCACAGCAAGTGCAGGAGGACAGGGACTCATTTTCAGTTTCCAAATCCTGTTTACTAGACACAGGTCACACAGGAAGCACGTTGTTTGGCCTTTTGGGGGTTTAGGGAGGAGGAAATAATGACCCTTCTTTGGCCACCTCTTTCCTTCGCTACAGTGGGTGCTTGCAGCCTGTCTGCACTGAGAACAAAGGCCTCACAGAGCAAGTCACCAGTGAGGCACAGCCTCATCCACTGCAGGCCTCACGTCTCCTGCTACTGGGCACCGTCCACAAGTTCATCAGAGTGGGAGGATAAAGGGAGTCAGCATACCAGCCAGTGCTGGATCTTATCATGAATGACTAGAACATAACAGGCGGTCTGGGCCTTTCCCTTCATAATACTCATGGATCTCCTGGGCCAAGCAGTACAGAGTGCTCGGGAGGTGGCACACATCAATCACTCCATCAGGCCAAGGCACAAGTGTGTTCAGTCACTCTCACTTGTTCTTGCCTCAGACACAGCATCTCATCCACTGCAGGAGCTTCGACATTCAGATGCCCACATATTCTGTGCTGCCTGCTAGACCTGAGCTTGCAGCTTCTTTAGAAGCTCTCTGGCCAGTTTTCTTGAGGCTTCAACACAAAGATGGTCTGATCTGTACAAAGTCTGGTCAAGAAAGCCAATAATCTCATGGGTTACAGCATCCGTGTGGGCCATCTGCAATAAGGGAAGAAAGAGATGAGGGCACTACCCTGAGACCCCTCTGTCTACTGCATTAGCAGAAAGCTACATGGGAAGCATGCATGGGTCACAAGGTAACTATCAAAGCATCTCTGCCTCCAGGGGCCCCTTCCTGATGACCAATCTCCCCATGTGGTCTTCGGCTCTCGAATCACATACAAGCACTGTGGAGGCAGCAAGGACTTCCCAGCACACTGTCACAGCTTTGGGATTCTGTACTGTGAGGAGCAAGATAGCATCTGTTACTTGACTTTCTCTGCAAAGGCCACCTGCTTTCACACAAGCAGCCTTAAGTTTCATTCCTGGACTATCCACTTCCAGGACAGCAGGCAGGGTGGTTGGTAATTTTAACTTTCAACACTCTTGAGACATTCTTGCTTATTGGCATCAGTTCGTTCTTTCCCAAGAACCTCAGCTGGGGAGACTGAGACTGGCATGTGATCTGTGCAGGACACTAACTGGGAGTCCTTTTAGGTGCAGCAGCTTTAAGAACCCAAGTGTGGAGGAAGACACACACTTGTGTGTTGGTGCATACAGAGCCTGTAGATTTGGCCCCAGCTCAGCTTCCTCTTGTCTCACCAGGACTTTTCTTGAGGGTGACCAGTGAGTGACCTTAGATTTGCCTTAACTGTGACTGAGGTTTCACTGGCCCATAGCTTAGGCAACCCTTCATTCTGGGCTTTCTGATCTCTGACCACCAGTAAAGTGAAACACAGCTCTCAAGAGCTTCAGTCATAACACCTGCACACCACGGTCATGCTGCTGAAGGTAATGGGGCTTAAGATGGCCTGGCAGCTTCTGCAGGCTCTGGGCATCTGACCCAGATGCATGGCGCTAGTGACCTTAGATGCAGCCCCTGTCCTTCCTGGCGCATCAATCCCTAGGTACCTTAAAGATTTAATGTATATCTAGGCCTGTGTGGGCACAGACTGCTGCCCACTCAAGGGCAGGTGGGTCATCACTACACAGCATAACCTCCAATCTTTCCCAGGCCTGGGCTGTTGCCGTGTGTACAAGGGAGCTGATCACAGGAAATGCAGAACCTTAGAGCTGGTCTCACACTGCAGACAGCCTGAGGAGAAGGAAATGACGCAGAGGATGAGGAGGTTCACAGAAGTACAAGGACAGCAGGCAGGATGGAGCAGGCTCCAAACACAAACTGGCGCTCTAAGTACACCCAGCCTAGCACCAGTGAGGGAGCAAGCGTGTGACAACCGGGGGCAGAGAAGAAAAAGCCAGAGCAGATGGCTATTGAGGACTATGGCAACTCAGAAAGGGAAACTCATGAGAGAGGACCAGGATCCAACCTACCCCATCCCCCAGGCTCACCCTGGAGAGTTAGGGTGGCAGGAAGTCCTAAGTAGGCTGCTGCCCGCTCCAGTGCCCACCCAGATCTCAAAAGCTCACCACTGACACAGAGGCCAGACCACGTTCCTGGAAGTGCCTCTGAGTTCACATTCAAAATCTACCCTCATGCCAGGGTCCTCAGGTGGTGACACCCACAACTGCTTTTTCAAAGTGCCCTTTAGCAAAAGGCTAAGCTGCATGGAGACAGATGACTCTTGCCATTGAGTGGGCTGGGGGCCTGAAGCCTGGGGCCAAGCCTCCTCAAAAGGAAGACTGTGTGTTACTGACACCACCCCGCAGCCTGAGGGAGGCCTGGCTGGAATGCTCCTTGGAGGAAGCAGTGGATAGTTTTCTCTGTACTCTGGGCAGTTGATGGACTGTACCCCGGAACTGTGAACTGCAATAAACCTCCTCCCCTGTGGCTTTTCTCAGGGCAGTTTTTCACGTCAACACGAAAGGAAATCCAAGAGACCACACCAAGTCACTGTCTGTGTAGCATTAGGTGTTCATGCTAGCCTGACTCCTGCCCAGGAGAAGCTAATAGGCAGAGCTGCCGCAGCAGGCCTGACAGGGGACTTGGTTGGCTGGTGAGGCCTGGCATGTGGAGTTCTCCTGTTTCAAATGGACTATACGCTGAAGTGTTTCCTGCTGGTAATTTTGTTACGTCCACATTGTGAGCTGATCCCCAGTCAATCTAATTAACACACCTGTGACTTTGTACACTGTGTATGCAGAACACTTATAGTGTAACTGAGGAACTTTTAGGTGGAATTATTGAGTCAGGACCTACTCATAACTGCAATACTTTGTCCAACATCCTCCCCCTCACCCAACATGGCAGATGAAGGTATGACGAGGCAACACTTGTCTTGGTGACTGTCCCCTCAGTGCCATGTTCTGCTTTGCCATGTTGTTGAAGGCCTGTGTTTTAGGACCAGACCATGCTCAATAGATTTCTGAATATATTCTTATGCTGGGCCAGCCCTGAGATGCCCCAGTGCAGGACAGGCACAGGAGGTGAGTGCTCTGACAGAGTGTTCTTGGCAGGGACACATTGCCTCCTGCCTTTCCTTCCTAGTATTCACTTAGACTGACACCAGGTGGGGCTCTGAGAACAGCCCTTTCTTGAGTGGGGTTGCTGGCTACATGAATTCTATTTTTTATTTTGTATGTAGAACTTCAAGATATGTATTTTCATAATGTTAATAATTTTTTTTAATTTGAAAATGAAACTACTATGGTTGGCAATGTTCACCTTTTTGGTTTCTTTTGAGACAGTGTTTCATGTAGCTCAGGCTGGTCTCCAACACATGTGGCCAAGAATGACCCTAACCTTCTGATCCTCGTGCCTCATCTCATATGCTGGGATTTCAGGCTTGCACCACCCACATTCACAATACTGTACGATCATTACCCTCACCCATCTCCAGACACTCTGCACAAATTAAACACTACCCACCCACCCATTCCCAGCCCTGTGCAGCCTCTGTTCTGCTTCTGTCTCTGTGAGTCAGACTATTCCAAAGAACTCACACAGGTGGATGCCTGTAAGAGCTTCCGTGTAGCTACTTGATTTCACACAGCACAAAGGTTCGCCCGTGTTGTGACAGGTGGCAAAAGTCCCTTCCTTTCCAAGGACTATGGGCATTGCACAGTTTGTCTGCACAGGCACCTGTGGTAATACATGGCTTGTATGCATAGGCACCTGTGATACCCAGGCGTGCACAGCACAGATCCAAACGCACAGATGCCTGCTTTAGCCTCTGCCATCAGTTCTTGGGGAGACCTGGGGACAGGATCACTATGTCCCACAGCAGAGTGAGACTTTACTTCCTTCAGAGTGGCTACATCACTGTAGCATTCCCTACTGGAAAGGCCTCACTATGCCACCCCGAGTCTCAATGTTGCTTTACTAGTTCTGCAGTAGCCACCATGTAGATGTGTGTCTGTCAACAACAGTGCCATGGGTCTCTTCCAAGAGGCTTCTGAGAATTCGCTTAGCTTCCTGGAGAAGTGTCTGTCCTATCCCTTCACTCATCTTTCACTAAATGGTTCAGCATTGCTGTCGGTCATAAGAAGTCTGTATGTATCCTGAACACAGTGCATCCTAACCCTGGCTTTCTGCCATTCTTGAATCACCTTGTACTTTGATATCATTTGATGCACATGTTTTAAACTTTTGTGTAGTCCAATTTATCTCTCTTTTCCTTTTGTTGATTTTGGTGTCATACTCAAACTGTTACTTCAAGGTCTGTGTCACAGATGTGACTCACTTCTGACTGACCCCTTTACAAATCCATCACATCATGCGTGCTTCTACAAGAACTTCTAACTAACTTTATGGTCTTCCCAACAGACTCATAAGCTAGGCTTGGTGCCTGGCTGGCAGAACTACCTGAGAGACTCTGGGTACTGTAGGAAGCGGGAACTGTCTGAAGGAAGTGGGTCACAGGGGGAAGTCCTTAGGGATGTCTCGATCCCATGTTTTCTGTGCACCCTAGGTAGACAGTCACTGCCACACACTCTTGCCACAGAGATCTGCCTGACCATGGGTGGGCCCAGCACCACTATGCTAACTGGAAGTAAAACACATAACTCCTCTTGACTACCCTTGACTCCCCCGACTCATCCCTTATAGTTGTTTTTCTCAGAATTTTTGTCACTCCAACAAGAAAACTAATATACTAAACAATACTTTTCCTGAAGTAAACTCTTTGACATGTTACAGTGAGTAGCACTGTGGCTACTTAGGTGCATGCTGTCCCTGCAGCTGGACTTCTCTTCCCAAGACACGCAGAAAGCAACCACCGCATGGGATGCAGGACACCCAGCTCATTGTGAGTGGTGCCAGCAGCACCTACAAGTGTGTGTACAAGGTGACTTCCTTTCTGCTGCTATCCCTTCCCCTCCATGCACCTCTGTATAGCACAGGTGGGCTCTGGGTCTGTGCTGTGGCCTTGCTGACCTCTATACCCTAGGGCAGCATCCTGGGCCTGTGATCTCAAAAACCAAGACCCTCAAGGAGATAATCTACCTTTCATATAGAGTGTAAACTAAAGGTTGGAAAAAGAGAGCAACTTACATGGGTGACAGCTTCCCAGACAATTGCATGGCCTTCCGGGGTCCAGAGCAAGAGACTAAGCAGAAGGTGTCTGACCAGCTGTCCACATACAGGAGGTCTGGGGTCTGCGCTGGGACTCTCAGCTGCTTCCTGCAGACTGATAGCTGAGAGGTGGCCGCTTCTGAGCATCATCAGAAAACGGTTGACTAATACCTTTAGCTCCACCTGGGTAATACAAGTTCAGAGGGTTGAGACATTAGAGACTCAGGACATGAGAGACTCTTGCACTGACTTGATGCTTTCAAGCTCCAGAGTGAGGAACAGCCAGGTACCCAACTTGGCTAGTTCCTACAGCTCCACATTAACCTAAATGGACATAAGGGAAATTTCCTGCCTTTCTTCCATCTTGCCCACCAAACAGCCAGAGCATCATGCCAGGACCTGACCTTTATTTATATGGAAGGAAATGAAGGCAAGTCCTCAGCAGAAGGTAGTCAGAATTTTCTTACTGTGGGAAAAATCAAAGGCCCCTTGAAGACCCCTGACCATAAGCCATAATCAGTTAGAGCCCCAGGCCCCACTGGGCAGTGCTGATGAGAATGCAGGCCTGCCCCCTGCCTGGGCTGTGTGAGGGAAGCACAGACCGTGCATACACAAGCTCGTTTGTTTTGTTGTAAACACTGGGACAGTTGTTCCTACAAGTCCCAGCTTAAGCAGAGGGCACAAGGCTGTGGAATCCACATAATAACAGTAGTTGTTCTAAGTCTGTGGGTTGTTTTTGCATAAAAAATATTTATTTCATGCTGAGACTCCTGCTCGTTTCAAGAGCAGCCCACACTGTGTTTCACAGAACAAGGCAGAAGCCCAGGTTTCTGAGACAGACATAGTGTAGAACAACATCACATCCACATTCTGTCCTGCTGAGAGGCTCCTTGGTCCTGTTCAGACAATTCCCACAGTTGACTTTGTGGGTCTCTGAGAGCTGCTTCTCACCTGCAAGTTCAGGTCCATTCAGTGCCACCTGTGTCAGGCAGCAGCACACAGGAGTGTCGTGTGAGCCCTCTGGACCACAGGACTCTCTGACTGAGAGAAGCAGTGTTCCCAGGGTGGCCACCACCTCAGTTGATGGCATCTGGAGAAGTCTCACTCTCCCCTCTTACTGACCTGCATATCCTAACTCCATCCTGTTTGTCCACACTCACTTCCCTCTCACACGCCTGCTGTGACTAGAAGCTGCTATAGGGGAGATGTTCTCTGAAATGAAAGAAAAGCCTTTTTTGCTTCATAAAGTATTTTCATTCTATATTATAAAGATTTACTTTTGCTTCCTATGGAAAACATGAGGAATAAAGAATGGGAAAGCAGTCTACCGCTCAGCATCATCTGACAGACCCAGGCAACCTGTGTTCCACGCACTGGGTATGACTGTTAACTGCTCCTCTCATACTCCCACAGTGTGCCATGCACTGTTTACGTGCCCAAGCATATTTGGCAGTGCGACTCTTCCTGGTAGTACATGGCTGGGATACGGCACCACTTACAGTGCACTGAGCTCAGGCTATGTCAGCTCCTGCAGCTATGGACTCTGCTTTGAAATCCATCATGTGCAAGGAGCTTTGTGTGAACCTCTGCCTCTCCAGGAAGATTCTCACAAGATGTCTCACAAGTGACAGGACAAGCCCAAGAGTACATTAAATATAGTCTTTAAAAAAAAAAAATCATTGCTAGGCAGTGGTGCCGCACACCTTTAATCCCAGCACTTGGGAGGCAGAGGCAGGCGGATTTCTGAGTTCGAGGCCAGCTTGGTCTACAGAGTGAGTTCCAGGACAGCCAGAGCTACACAGAGAAACCCTGTCTCGAAAAACCAAAAAAAAAAAAAAAACTTGATCCAATTTAGTTAGCCAAAGCAAATGAACACAGTTGCAGGTGTTACCCAGGTAGGACAAATATGCTTTTTACCCCATATTCCTGTACCCCAATTATGAACAGCAGGGGAAACTGTCAGCATAGCACTTGCAGCCAAATGACTAACCATGACACAGTTCAGCCTGTACTCAACTTCCTGCTGACCATCAAGGGGTTAAAGCTCCCAAACCCCAGCTACACAAAATGCCTGCATCGATACTTAGGAAGACACCTTCCTGGAGTGTGCCACACACCAGCGCCTCTGGTCAGACACCAAGGCATCAGTAATGGGAAACTGGCTTCTAGGACTAGGCAGTGCCTGCCTCTGAGTGACCAGCTAAGGAGTAAAGACAGGCAACAGCAAACTTTTATTCAGATGTCTAATCACTCTGTGTAAGACCAAGGCATACTTGTAAAGAAAGAGAAATACTCCTGAATCTGGGTTAGCTAGTAGGAAAATGCACCAATGAAGAATTGTCTAGAAATGAATCTATTTTAAAAAGAAAAAATTAGGGCTGGAGAGATGGCTCAGTGGTTAAGAGCACTGACTGCACTTCCAGAGGTCCTGAGTTCAAATCCCAGCAACCACATGGTGGCTCACAACCATCTGTAATGAGATCTGATGCCCTCTTCTGGTGTCTGAAGACAGCTACAGTATATTCATATATAATAAATAAATAAATCTAAAAAAAATAAAATAAAATAAAACACTAAGCAATGTAAAACTTTAAAAAAAAAAAAAAAAAAAAGAAAAAATTAAATTTATTTGTGTGTACATATCCAGATGTGCGCAGTCGGGTATACAATGCATTTATGGAGGTTAGTATAGGAGTTAGTTCCCGCCCTCCGTGATGTGCACAGGACAAACTCAGGCTGTCAGGCTTGGGGCCTGGGGCGGTTACTCACTGAGCTGTCTTGCTGGCCCCTATAAGTTAAATCTTACAAGACACTCTCTGTATTTCAAGAGTCAGTCTCTGTTAGTATCTGTGATTCATACAAATTAACCCTAATCTACCAATTTAGTTTACACGGAATCTAACACAAACTGTAAATGAAAGTGCTTTAGAAATGACAATAAGAGGACTGAAGTAGGATTGCCCTGAATCAGTTTAATGTAATATATCTTTTTAATTTTTATTTTATTTATTTGTTTTGTGTGTGAGTGCACATGCGACACAGCATGTATGAGGAAGTCAGGATGTGTCTGGGCCTTCTACTATGTGTGTTCTGGGGTCAAATTCTGATCTTCAGACTTGGTAGCAAGTAGCATTACCTGCTGAGCCATCTTACCAGCCCAAATGTGAGATTTTAAAGTGAAGCAAGTTTTCTTTTGAATTAAGCATCAATCATCAAATACACATGTAGATGATAACTTCTTTAAAATGCTTCATTCTAATCCAATATCACCCTCAAATTTCAACTTTTTAAAATTCCCAGGCTCATAATCACTCTAATAGGGAAGCCTTTAAACCAATGGTTCTCAGCCTTCCTACTATGACCCTTTAATTCAGTTCCTCATGTTGTAGTGACCTCTAACTACAAAATTATTTTCATAGCTACTTCAGAACTATAATTTTGTTACTGTAATGAATCATAATGTAAATACTTGTGTTTTCTGATGGCCTTAAGTGATCTCCATGAAAGGGTCATTTGAAACCCCCAAAGGAGTCATGACACACAGGTTAAGAACTGCTGCTTTAAACAAATACAAGACTGCACTAGCCTCTGGAACAAACAGGAACATTGTTCTAGTCACACTGAGACGTATTCCTTTTATTACTAAAGTCAACAAAAAGCACTAGAAACTGAAGGCTTGCTGTTTTCCCCTCCATGTGCACTGGTGTTTTGCCTGCATGTATACCTATGTTAAGGTGCAGCATCCTATGGAAGTGGAGTTACAAACAGTTTTGAGCTGTCATGTGGGTGCTGGGAATTGAACCTGAGCCCTTTGGAAAAAACAGTCAGCACTTTTAACCACTAAGCCATCTCTCCAGACTGGACTGAAGTTTTTAAAAGCCAGCATAAATGTGTGCAAAGCTTTAATTCAAACAGTGGCTTCCTGAAACAACTACCTTGTACATAACAAACAGCATCTTTGCTGTACACAGCCACCCAGTCCTGTACATCGACACCCTGTTTAGATGACCCAAGTGATTAAGTCATGTGATTACCTCACTATGAGGCTGAGTAATGCAGGAAAGTGGTGAGATGGAAGTAGACTAATCAGGCTGCTGGTGGGCAAGAAAGACACTGACTAGCTCAGGAGCCAGTCTCTGCCTTGAGAGAGTGCTTCTCAGAGTAACTGTCACCCCTCCATGGCATCTCCTAGAATTTAGAGCCCTGGGGTGAGGCAGGAGGATAAATTAGGGCAACTGAGGCCACTGGGGAGAACAGATCAAATAACTTGGCAGACAGAAGGCCCAGAGCAAGGCAGTCTCTTGTCTCAGGTCTCTGTGGAGGCAGAAGAAGGTCACTGACTGTAAGCTCAGCCCAAGTGGATATGCACACATCACCAAAACATCTGACAAGTGCTCTGAGCCTGGGTGTCGGGGGGGGGGGGGGGTGGGGTAAAGGTAAACCAAATCAAGTTTCCCTTTCTGTTCTCCGCTCCCTGAGGCTCCCTGTGAGAGCACAGTAGGGCTTTCACTTACCATGCTCTGCCCTCTCTGCTGACTCCCATCCTGTGGGCTGTAATAGAAGACCAAGAGCCACAGCAGGCCTGCAGGAGGCTCGGCCTCCCCCCTCAGCAGTAACTCCTCCACGGCCAGATCAACCCATCCTCCAAAGTGAACAAATAAAAACCAGCTCTCAAAGGGATTTCGCTGAGACCTGGAACAGAACAAGACACACACATACACACACACAGACTCTTCTTCCATTTGTTCAAAACAACTTTAATGTTTACAAACTGGTAGTTTTAATTGTTCTTTCCCACTGAAAAAAAAGACCGTCAGACCAACAAACTGGATTCAGAAAACATTTGTTCCACCCTAAGCCCATCCTGAGATAGCCAAAGAACCCTCCCTAGCCCTCATGTTGAGGACTTATAGGGACCTTATAGGAGTCTAGGCTCCAAGAGACTTGGAGCGGGGAGCTTGTGAGGCATAGCGAGACCCTGCAACTTGCAACCAAGGTGGCTCCAGGGTGAGGAGAAAGAGGCTCCATAAGGCCAGAGAATGCTGACCGCCTCCAGGACAGCAGAAATATACCTTTCTGACTCTGATTTCTCCCTGTTGTCATCCTGTAGACACTGGGTGGGCAGGAAGGTCAAAACTTTTTCCAAGCTATTCTCTCATCCTGGGATCTGGGGGTGGTGATGCATATTAAAGGATGGTACCTGTCCTGTCCATGGAGCCCTAACAGTCTCAGCAAGGCAGCATTGTACCAGGAGGCAAATGACAGAATAACCTAAAGCCTCTCTGGTGGAAACCTTCATCTGGACAGGAAAATCATGGCTTTTGCAGTGTCTGCCTACACTGGGACTATGGGAGTCCCCAAGTTCTAAGCATGCTTCTTGCCGTCTTCGTCCCTGGAACATTTACAGGTTTTAAATCAAGTTTGAAGGACAATGAAGGAAAAGGAAGGAAGGTCAGAGGGAGGTCAACCCACCACTGCACAGAGCTGAAGGGCCAGAGACTCCTCTCTCTCACAGACCTCATCAGCAAGTACACTGGCCTGTGGCCAGCCCCAGGCCATAGCACAGATCTGCCTGGCCTTTTCCTCTCCTCTTCCAGAAAAAAACTCTTCATCTGCTTCAAACCCTTTCCTGCAGGTAGACCCCACAGACAACCCAGGCACAGACATTCAACGACCCCACCTGAACACCAGCTTTTGTTTGAGCTGTTTTAAGAATTCAACTGGGAGGAGTGTTTAGTGGCCAAAGCACTCAATCACACACCCGACCAGAAAATCTCACAGGAAAGAGGGACCAGAGGGTCTTGAGCCAACAAAGACTGAGCTGCCATTTATCCTCTCAACATGGGCAAGCTGGGAGGCTAGAGACAGGATGAAGATGGTAGCACGACTGCACAGGAATGCGTTTGGAGAGCAGCACCTAGAGGCCTATGCCATGCTACAGAGTCATTTATTCTACGACAGGCCTGCTAGCTTTGGAGACACAGTAGCTTACTTATTTTTAATTTATCTGTGTGCCTGTTTGTATGTGCTTGGGCATATAAGTGGGCACAAAGGCCAGAAGGGGGCATCAGAACCTCTGGAACTGAAGTTACAAGGGGTTGTGTGCCACGTAAGGTAGGTGCAAGGAGCCAACCATGAGTGCTCTACAAGAAAAGCAAGTGCTCTGGATCACTAAGCCTTCTCTCTAGCCTCTGGAGAGAAATCAAAGGGGGAAATCAATGAAAAGGAGTGGGATACAAACAGTTAACATTCCTCCCACTGACCCGTCTCCTCCCTAGAGAACCACGTGGGCACTGTTCATTCTGGGGGTCTCTCTCCTTTGCATATGTCAGACTCTGCAGACACGTTTGCAATGCTGGCTCCTCACTCTGACCCGAAGTGATGCTGCAGCCCTGCACTTCCTCCATTTCTCACCTAGCACGGTGAGGATATGTACTTGTTGGTCTGGGAGGGTCCAGCAATGCCTTTAGCTACAAACCTGCTCACAGGGAGGTCAGGGAGGCCACCTGTGAAAGGGTCAGGGGTCGTCGGGATTTGCTCACCCATGAGTACAGTCTTCAACTGCTTCTTGGAGGAGCTGGGAAATGTGCAGCAGAGGCTGGAGCCGATGTCCCTGTGGGATAGCTGTGGGCGGAGAGAAGTCAGAGGGGGAACTGAAGGAAAGCCAAAGCCATGGGGAGACGCCTAAAGCTTAGACTGAAAGCATTGTGCTGAAAGAAATGCCCCCACCCCCGCCATTCACAGGACCCATGTCATACTTCTGTCAGCCAGGATCTGTCTCTGAGTCAAACTTCAAAGTTTCTTTTGTTGTCTTGTTTGTTTCAGACAGGGTCTTACTATTATAGCCCAAGCTGCCCTTAACTCACTATGTAGCCTAGACTGGCCTTGAACTTTCTATTTGTCTGTCTCTGCCTTCCAGGAACCAGGACTGCAACCCTGCACCACAGCCCTGCACTACCATGCCTGGTGTCAAATATCTTGAACGGGGGTGGGGTGGGGGTGGGGTGTATACAGGTCACTGAGACTCCCTCCACAGTTACCCTAGGACTTGGGCTGCCTTGCTACAGATGTCCTGTGTTTTTCTTTTTACCACATTTGGCTCCATCTCAAGTTTGTGCCATCAAAATACAAAGGGATCATACTCAACTATTTTTCTGCAGTGTGATCAGGCCGGGTGTTTCAGGTTTACAGTACAGGCCAGGGGGAAAGCACATAAAACCATGCAGGCAGAAGTAGTTGATAAGGCGTGTCTGATTTCACACCTGCCTTTAAACATCTGACCTGCATGTATCTGTAGTTAAAATCGACCACATGACAACACCTGAGGTGGAGAGGTCACCACTGTTCCTCCACAATGCAGACCTGCGGCACACATCAGGCCCTCCCTCAGCCTGTGACTTAACTTCTCAAAGCAAATAGCATTTCCTCCAAATTTTCATGCTTAGCAATAACTTTTTAATGCCTCCAAGACCTCACCATGAACATGAAGTACAGTTCTGATGAGCACTAAAATATCCATCTTTCCCCAAAAGCAACAGGTATGCAAACTGTTCTCCAGATAAACACAGTGCTTCTTTGTTTTTGCTTAGAGTCACTTGTTGACTTTGGGGGATGGGAAGGCAGACAGCCTAAATTCACACTGTTGGCCTTGACTGACCTGAGTTTCTGGAACCTAATTTCCAGTGTGTTTTGAGGTGCCCAGACTGCTTCCCAACAAGCCTGGCCTCAGACTTACACAATGGGCCCCGGACAGTTGTAGTCTTTACTTTTCTATTATACTAATAAAGTTTTCCTACTGTGTCCCCACTGAATGAAAAGAAGAAATCAAAAAGAGGACATGGCTGCTCCTAAGTCTGGTAGAGGAGAAGGGATAAAAACCACCATGCAGACATCCCAGGGAGGCCACTCTGCTCATTGGACCCCAGCTCTAGCTGAGAGGGCTTTGTTGTGTAAGCCATATGGGCAAAAACCTACATCTTATAGACAAAGGAAAAGGTATTTACTTTGTAAAACGCTTTGGAATTCTGGATAGTCTACTAACCTCAAACAGATCTTTCTCAAGTATAGGGAAAGAAGCCACAGTAGCCACAGCACGGGAACATAAGCCCTCCTCCATCCCTCCTCTTCCTGTCACAGGCCTTGTCTACAGAGTCTCATCAGAGGGAAAAGGCTCCTTTATGCTCTGTAGCTGAGACATTCCCTCAGCATGAGCTCACAGACACAGTCAGAAGCCAACACCAGTAGATTACAGACATGGCCTTGGGAAGCAGACTTGCAGATGAATCAAAAAAGGCTGAGGGTCTAACAATAGAATTTTACCCAAGCTTTCAAAATCTTTTTCTTGGAGGGAAAAAACTCTCCCCAAAATTACAAGGCCTCATCCTTCACTTAATCCTGTCTGCAGAGGAAGAAAACCAAACAAGGACACTGTTGTATTCTGACCTGGCCCGTCCCTAGCAGCCTCAGCAAAGCTGGAAGCAAAGCAGGTTTCTCATGTATGACTACACACAAACTGAACCCCCAAGAGCTTGAGTGTACAAGCACATTGTCTACCTGGGAGGCCAGAGCCATGGGTTTCCATGGTCCTCCCTACAAGCCACTATGACAGAGGCAGAGGTACCTCAGCTCACCTTCAGGGTGCTGGGACAGCGCTGCAGTGAGACACGGAGCACCATAGGGAAAGTAGGTCCTGAGGGCAAACTTCAGCTGCAAGAGTCAACATGGAAACCGCATGAACACTGGGACTGGGAGGAAGTGAGGATGATATAACCTCTGCCTGCCTGCCCCAGTGACCCACTGTACTAGCACAGGCAAATGTATCCTCATGTGACCCACTGTACTAACACAGGCAGAGAGTATGTATCCTCATGTCACCTCAGACATTTTTATAAACATGCTTCCAGTTATCTCATAAATAGCCAAAACAAAACAAAAACCCCAAGAAACAAAAAACATGTTTAAGAGTCATTTTCTGAACCTAGGGAAATAACATTGTCTTCCTGCTATCTTTACTGAGGTTTCTCCTCACAGAGGCCCAGCCACAAACATTAGCTTCTACTTCGGAGAGGGCTGTAAACACCTGGACTCAGGATCTCAGTGTGGCGTCCATGACAACGAAAGTCTCCAGGAAGCAGCTCTTGTGGTGAGAAGATGAGGCTGTGCTTACCAGCATTCCCCCAAGGCACAGAGGATTTTTAAAAATAAAACAAAAACAAGGTATGACCAGGTAAAGTCCACAAGGTATGAGTACACAAGCCATCTGTACACAGCTTGATAACCTTGGGTGAGTATGTGAATCCACCTGACCAGTACTCCATCATGACCCAGAACACTGCTGTCACCCTGGGGACTTCCCTGTGACTCAAAGTCAACCCCTGAACCCTGAATCAATATTTTTATTTCCAAAGGACTGATCAATAATTGCATCACTTATTCCCAAATTTCATAGAGATACACTGAGTGTGCCCACTTCTGCACCTGATCTTTGTGGTCTCGGGACCCTTCTGCACTGCTCAGGAGGCGGGACTCCACCAGGGTTTGCTTGCATACCCTGTATGAGTGCTGCCTGTCGGAGGTCATTAGAATTAAAGCTGCTGCTGACATTCATGTCTCCCTTTGTGGACAGGGCTTCCTATTTTATAGAGAAAGTAAAATGGAAAAGGTGACTGAGGCAACTTCTCAAGGCCACCAGGGTTCCATTCCCATCACAACAGGATGAGAATTACCTGCCGATACTGGGTATTCTGGAACTCACTGAATGTAGTTGATCTGCTTGGTATGAGACATTATTTCACACGTGCTTGCTCCTAAGCTTGCTCTGTGTGGCAGGCGATGCTGAGCTCTGTTCACGTGCTCAGCGCTGGTCAGGATAGCTTTCCACAGTGTGTATCCATTAATCACTGACTGCTGCTTTCTATGGAGCTATGAGACAAAGTCTTCTAGTATGAATGCTGCATTTCCTCCAAGGCACTGGGCAACCTGCTTGTCTTCAAAAGCATTCATCACAAAACAGACACTACATTTCAATGAAGTTTTATTTACTCATTTTTTTAATATGGCCAATGTTTGCTTTTATTTATGGCATTGTTTCTAGAAAATCTTTGATTATCCAATGCTTTAAGAAAAAAAAAAAGGCCAAGCAGTGGTGGCACACACCTTTGATCCTAGCACTCAGGAGACAGAAGCATGTGGATCTCTGTAAGTTTGAGGCCAGCCTAATCTACAACATGAGTTCCAGGACAGCCAAGACTATATAGAAAAACCCTGTTTCAAAAACAAAAATGAAAAATGAAAAGGAAAAGACAAAGATATGCTATTCCATTGTCTCCTAAGGGCTTTATACTTTGACCTTTCTATTGAAGCCTACAGTCCATCTCAAAACACTGGTGTGCTTTCTGAAGCAGTAACCAGCCCTTGCCCCGCCTACCCCAGTGAATTGTTTTTGCACGCCCCTCACTATGCTGCTCTAGACTCCCTGTCAAAGCTCCTATGCATGGGTCTGTACTTGGACTCTGTTCTGTGTGTCCTGCCAATCTCTCACTGGCTTAATTACTCTTAGTAGGAGTCCGCTGGTTGCTTTCTGACTTTTGTAGGTCCTTTTTATGTCCAGCTAAATTTGAGAATCAGCCTATGCATTTGCATTTGAGAAGCCTGCTGCAGAGGCCAGGGTCTTTTATTAAATGGGGGCTTGATTCCCAGCCCTACAGAGGGATCACTACTTTCCTGACAGGAACCAAGGAGCAGGAAGGCAGGCCAAGGGAGCAGACCTGAAGGCTCTTGTACATGGCTTCTAACTGTTGTATTTGGGGCTGCTTTGGCTGCCCTCAGCTAACTAGCTCCAGGTATGTCATCTGGGACTAAACGTGTCCATTTCTTCTGTCAGTTTTGCTTCATGTATTCCGAATCCATGCCTGTTATGACTGGCATGTCTCCTGATGGACTGATGTTCTGTCACTGTGAATGCCGCTGTCTAAAGCTGTCACGGAGTCACTGTCTTCTTTATCCCTGAGAAGCTACACATTCTTCCTGTGCAGCAGCACTCCCTCCTTTCCCTTCCAGCCTCTGTCATTGCAATGGTGTGTCTGGAAGCTACACGCTTGGTCTTATCTCCGATCCAGTCAGACAGACCTGCCTTCTTACTCCAACCCTCTAGTATGTTGGGACTGGCTCTATCTTTTAACATGGTTTTCATTTGTCCCATCTGCTTCTTTCCTCCACTGGATTCTGTTTCCTACCTCAGAAGTCCCGGGACCACCTGGAGTGTGGTCCCTTACACTGCTGTCCCCAGGGCCTGAGTGAGAAGTGAGCAGAGTTCCCATACTGAGGCCCCTCCTGTTCCTGTCAGCTTTGTCAGACTCTTTAAAACATATTCTGCCCCATGTGAAAACTCCATCTGTAGGAGACTCAGTACAATCCACTGTCTGTCTGTTCAGCTGCTGGAACCCATCCTGACCTGTGGCTGCCTGTACTCCAGCCACTGCACAGCTGAGAACAGGAGCTCACGTCCTTGCCTACTGCTGAGCAGGGCACACTGGCAGGGCTGACTCATGCTACCCACAGAGAAGTGTGGTGAGAAGAAAGAAGCACAAATGATGACCGCAGTGACGGGACATGAGTGGGTTAAGAGGGCAACATACTTTGTAATCAGCATGGTGAGACTGAATTCTGCACCCCATAAACAGACACAAGGTGATTCTTGTTACCCCACAAACATTCATCACAACATGTTTATAACAGACAGCAAATACACAAATAGCCCAAATGCCAGGAACCAGAAATGGTTACGTTGTGCTCCATTTGTACAGTGGACTGCCACAAAGCCACCGCTCACCACAGCGTCAGAAGCCTAACACCATCTTATAAAAGCACTGAGTAGAGAAGCTAGACTCAGGGATCATGTGTGCTGCCTTTCTGTGTGTCTCATAAAGGGCAGACACAACCCCAACCAAAACCATTTTGCTGTCCTGAGTAGCTAATCAAAGTATTTTGGAGAAAGAGAAGGGGTAAGGAATGCAAAACTCAGCATGGGCTTACTGAGGTGGGTAGGCAGGCAGAAGAGGCGCACAAGAGTCAGCACCACCAGTGGCTCAAGTATTATCTGAAGGTGCCTTCCCTGCCATGAATTTTGTTATCAATAAGTGAAACAAAGGAGAGAAGGTCAACACACACTAAGCAGGGCAGGATGATGACTAGTCATAAAGTGTGCACTTAAGTCAGGGTGAGTGAGTCAGTCACAGTTAAGTATGTGGGTTGTCAGGGGCAGCACCAGGAAGACAAAATAAATCATCACATATGGATGTGAAGGCTTTGCAAGGTCAGGAGACTGCTGTGCCCCTGTGTGGAACTAAAGGCAGGTGAATCCCTATCTTGTCTCAAACCAGGGCCCAGTGTGTATCACTCTCACCCCTAGATACATGTGGTCAGCAGGCACTATTCTAAACTAAAGGCACTGTTACTCCAGTACAAATCCACAGTACCAAGAACAGCAGAGACTCAGGGCAAACCTGGAACACTCAAGTCAATCTGAGGAAAAAACTTTCTCTTGTCCTCTGTCCCAACTTGGGCATGTTGGGAATCCAAGGGTGAGGTTTGCCGGAGGCTGTTTCCTCCCTGGGGAACCACAAGTGTGTGAGGGAGGACAGCACGCGTTTACAGCTGTGTTCACAACAGTGAGAGTACCAGCCAGAGCCTTGCAGCTGAGGTCTCCTCCCAGACGCCAGGCCATGCTCCATCTATTTAACTTCCCCTGGGAAAGGAGGATGGCAAGAATAAAATATACAGGCTTATGGTTGCCTTAGAAAGTAGAAACATCTAAAACCTGAGATACCTCTATAGTCTTGGGCTGAGTTAGGATTTTAGTGGGTTGAGAACCATAGCTCTGCCCTTAGCCAAACTGTAAACAGCATCACAGGGGACTGGGCTGTTTACCACAAGGATGTCTAGAACCGGTGCTACTCTGAGTAGGCAAGCATCATATAAGCATTACTCCTGTGGCCACTGGTTACAACAGCCAAGGCTGTAGACAGGAGAAGCTCCTGTTTTGTTTTGTTTTGTTTGCCCTCACAGTTGCTGTCCAACCTCTGCTGCTGGGAACCTAGAGTCCTTCTGTCTACTGGTGGCATCTAACCTTCACTCATTCTTCAAATGCCTCCCTTTTACCCCCTCTCTTCTGAGGCTCTGATGGGAATAAAGACAGTGACCACTGAGAACGCCCAGCTTGCAGTTCCTATAGTACATTGTAGGTACACTCCATAATGTCTCTTGCTAGCCACAAGGCCAACTGCAAACAGAAGGACAAACACAGGGCTAGGGGGAATTCTGCCCCTAGAGTAAGCTGGCCAATGTGAAGTCACACTCACGCACAGCAGTGGGCAGACATTTCTAGGAACCGGGCATGGGGAAGAAAGACAAAATCTTAAGTTATTTTCAGTGAAAATGTTTCATCTCTGCAGGAGTGGTCCTTTGGAAGCTTTCTTTGTGAACAAGACTCCACCAACATTTCTGAAAACAAGGCTGGGAGTGTAGCCAGTGTCAGAGCATGCGCCTAGCACGTGTGAGGCTGTGGGTGGTCTCCAACACCAGAAAAATACAGTTTCTCGGAATAAAGATTCTTTCAGCTCGTTACCAAATGCTTGCAGCAGCAGTAGCCTCTGCACTCTGACGTAACTAAGCAGCATTCCCGGGGTGATGTACCTGCTTGTTTTCTTTTTTCAGATCTTCTAACAAGCATGATGTGAAAACCTGAAGAGCAGCTAGTACTTCTGGGGCTCCATCAGTTTCCAGTAGCACAAACCTGAACAAAGCAAAGGGAGATGATAGCACCCTGCTGCTTCACACACATCACAAGCCCATGCCACAGCTTGAGCTGAGTTCATCAGACTGCAGCTCCTGAGGAGGCAGGAGGAAGCAGCCGCCCTTCCAGCCTCTCTCACATGGCCTTCCCATGGCACTTCAGTGTTCAAAGACTAGACAGTGCCGGCAACAGGTGTTCTGCTTTCACCAGCGAGGACAGAGCTGTCTGGAGAGTGACACACTCAGTCAGAATCACCAGAGTGGGGCTGTGGAATTAGATGTCTTTGGCTTGGTTTCCATGCTTTCTTATACAACTAATTTTTCTTCCTGTTTAAGGGAAAAAAACCTCAAACTTGACTAGCATGAAACAAAAACACTAGCCTGTCTTCTTACATCTGTGGCCATTTAAGATCAACACAAATGGTAAGATATTGGTTGTAAAACTTTCTTTCGTATATAGAGGCATAGTGCCACTTGCCTTTAATCCCAGCATTCAGGAAGCAGAGGAAGGTGGGTCTCTGAGTTTGAGGCCAGCCTGGTCTACACACTGAGCTCCAGGATAGCCAGGACTACATAGAGAAACCCTGTCTTGAAAACAAACAATAACAACAACAACAACAAAAACTCCTTTCCTAGGTCTGGAGAAATGGTTCAGTGGTTAAGAGCACTTGCTGCTTTTCCAGAACACTTGAATTCAATTTCCAGCATCCATATCAGGCAGCTCACAACCTTCTGTAACCAACTTCTGGGTCCACCACCTCTGACTTTAGTCTATCTTTAGAACTCCACAGTTGCCAACTCTCATGACTTCCGAGCAGAGCCAACTGATATGTTACACATTCCCTGTTACTGGTCCTCTAAAGGCAGCACAAGTTCCTAGGACCTGAGTCTTTAAAGTAAAAACACCATGCTGTTGAAATGTGGGGTTTACTTTCAGAGAGTTCTGTTCAGAATAGTTTTGTGTCTTTTGGCTTTCTTGAGGTCTGTGACAAAGCCCAGCCAGCCCTCGTGTGGTGAAGGGCTGTACTGCTTTTTTACTTGGAGCTGGGGCAAATGCTGCATGGATATGTATTTCAGTACCCAACAGAATCCCACTTCTCTATCACCTGCTAGTATAAACAGGTTAAAGAATGCCACCTCAGTACTGGGGCTGCCTTTTCAATGTAAAGCAAGTTCTGAGTTCTCACCCCTAACTCCAAGAGCACAAACCTCTACTCTCCCACACCAGCAGAGATCAACTGCTCCCAGAGACAGTGTATTTACCTGAACATTTCATCAACAATTCTGAAGATGGCAGGCTGGCAGGCTGCTTGAGGCTGTAAAAGGAAAAGACTATGAGAGAGTGACATACCACAAGCATCTATCAATAACAACTTTGGATTATTAGGCAAACAAGAGGTCTGGGGCTGCTCCAGAAAAGTTTCCTTTAGGTTAAGGAAAAAAAAAAAAAGCACCTGATACCTGGAAAAATTCACACATAAAATGCCAGCAGCAGTGGTTCTCTTTGGGCTTGGGCTGTGGGCAAACTTTACTTTGTAATGAGCCTGTGTGTAAGAGTAAGTTTCATGAACAGTTAAGAAGCACTCTATGCTAGCACTTTTCACAGGTCCTTCCTTTGTCAGTGGGGTCAGGATTTGGTAGCTGGTGCTGAGATGAAACCCTTGATTACATCCTTGCCCTGATACTGTACCAGTGGCAGCTGTTACTCAAGGGAACAGTGATGCAAAAGAAAAAAAGAAGAAGCACTCTATGACAACAGGCCACAGGACCTCCTCAGGGCCTCGAGGTACCTCAGTGGCACACTCCATCCTCACCCCAGAGTTGGTAATGAGCACTTAAGAAACAGGTGGCCACCACTATCCTGCACATTCCGTAAGTGTACATTTAGCAGTTAATGGAAAGTACAGCCACCTGACACCCAGTGATAGCTCCCTGGTCTATTCCTAGAATACTCTGTCGATAGGATTTAATGGTTTCAGTCCAAAGAAACTGGCTTCCTGGGGCCTAAGAAGAGCCAGCTTACATATATCTTTAGTCAGAGCTTAAAACTTGAGTTTATGATAGATTTTTAAAAACCTATTTGCACTACAAAACATATTTCACAATGGCATCCAGAAATGAGTAGGCCAGGCTCTAATAAAGGGAATTTCCGAAGTCATTTTGCATCTGCTATGACTAGGTTTGGGAAACAATTTTTATAGCCATCCTGGACCCTAGGCATCACTTTTCTGAACCACCCTGAAGAAAGCTGAGTGTTTCTTTGGCTTCCCACTTATAGTTAATTATGCCATGGCAGCTTAACTTGCAACATGGAGTATGTGCCATCTAGTGGCCATATCTGACCATTACAGGCTGCCACACAAATGGTGGGAGGCTGTCCATTTCATCAAAGACATTTATGATTTGCAAGTTAATGCTTTCTCATTTTTAAATAAACTAACCCATGATCCCTAACCCTTTGCTAGTATACATCTTTATCCAAATGAAGCGAACCTAAAATCTTCATAAACTTGTTACCTACTTAAGCCATTAACAACAGAAGAAGGGCAGGTTATTCCGTGGCTTTGATCTCAAAAAGTTACTTAATCTGCCTGCTTCTCAGCCTCACTGTAAATACTAATAGTTGTTCGGGCACTTGGACACAGGCCCAGAAAACACTGAAAGAGTTTCTATGCGTTCATAATGGAAAAATCCAAACAGAAAACAAAAAAAACCAAATTGGATGTCTTAAAGAAATACAACTCAGCTAAGTTTGCCAGGACAATTCTGTTTTATGTAGGAATGCACCTCCTAAAAACAAAGTCTGAAGACCCCCAGCATAGCCACACACCCATAGGCACAAACACAGAGCTGAATGTGTACTCAAGGAAAATAAGATCAGAACTTGATGCAGGGAAGGAAAACCATTTCCTTTTATTCCAAATGGCTTAACTACTCCCACCCTTGCCACTGAAGATTTGAAAACGTGATCTGATAACATGGATTTCTAAACAGTAAAGAAGAGAAGACATAAGAAGTAACTGTGGCTACCAAAACCACAAGAGGATGCAAGGAAGGGGGTTCTGACCTAGTTTCTCAAAAAGAAAACTGTATGGGCTTTGCTTTAATGCAGTGGTTTCCTTCTGAACAACTCAGCTGGTGATTCCAACCCAAACAAGCCATGGAATCCACCCACTCTCCATGTAGCTAGGCTGGATCTATATGCTGATGCTTTTCTTTGTTAAGGACTTCAGATTAGTGGGTTCTCCCATGTCCACAAACTACTTTAGATTCTAAAACAGGAAGAGACAAGCAGGTAGGGCACCTGCTGAAGTAGCCATGACAAGGATTAATGTTTAACCTGTCCTCACCACTTGTAAGAACCTCTTTCTCCTCTCTAGTCTTTACTGGAGTTTTCCCTGGACATAATTTCAGTGTCAGTAAGTTGTTTCATAAAGACCAAAAGATTTGCAAGTCCCTGTGACACAGTTATGCTAATTTTCCCATCAGAATTAAAGCTTTACTGCATGGTTCTCTGGAAGCCAAATCCCACCTCTTAAGAATCCTTGTGAGGAGGAGGCAAATGTTTAAGCCCTTTGCAGTGTCTCACAGGTCAGGTGGAACATCATAGGTCATTCTGCATTCCAGGGCTCTACAGCACTTCTCTAAAACACAAGATCTGTGCAATTATCTTTCCTACAAAAATGGAGGTGGGGGGAGCTGTCTCAGGTTCCATCTGCTCATCTGTTTCTCTCCATCCCACCAAAATCTGTTCCTTCTCAAACTCTCCTCCATCTGGCCTAATAATCTTCATGTAAAGATTGTTTCACACCAGAAAAGCCATGTCACCAAGAGATACCAGGAACACTTCTATCCCCTTTCTTGCCACCTGACTTTCAGTAAGCCTTGGATGACGATGATGGTGATGATGGTGATGGTGATGACAACGACTTGTGGCCTCCTTATCTTCTTACCAGAATGTTCTGTCAAGTACACATCTTCTTCATCAAGACACTTTCCTCTAGGTTCCCCTATGCCCAGGATGGCCTATTTCCATCCCTCAACAAAACTCAGGAAGATGAGTCAACACGGACAATACAGAGTATGTAGACGAGAGGTGAGGAGTGGTGGAGGCTGCTTCCCACCCTGCACCACAGGCTATGTGAGCACAGCTGACTCTAACTCACCCATGAAGCTTTCTAACCTGCGACTTTCATCCCAGGGGATCAGAGGTCATTATAAACCACCTGCCACTCCAAAGAGGCTGAGAACACACAGCACATTTCTCAGGAAGATGACACACTTTTTCTATAAATTGTTTTCAGACTCTCTCTCTCTCTCTCTCTCTCTCTCTCTCTCTCTCTCTCTCTCTCTGTGTGTGTGTGTGTGTGGGGGGGGGAACAGAGAGATGGGAGAGAACTAGAAAAGGTATTCATAAGGTGATTATTAGAGAAAAGTGAATGCCTCTCATAAAAAGACAATGGAGGGTCAGGAAGAATAAAGCCCACAAATCTTCTAGGTCACAGAACCAAGAAGGAAACAACAGATACTCAAGTGGCAGCTCAAGTTCAGGACAGATTCCCCTTTTCTTGGCTCATTTTAATGTTGTTTGATGTTTACTCAGAAAATGGTCATTTGAGAAAATCAGCTGAGAAGTTTTCCCTTCAGTTTGCCCACCAGAGCACATGGAGTCATCTCACCCTGCTCTTCTGACAAAACATACCCCACTTTGTACACAGATATGAGTTAAAAGTTATAGTCACCACAGAGATGCAAAATATGCAAATCCAAACAAAACCAAAGAACAGCCTTTTCTAAAGGAAGAATCCCATAGGCTTCAACTGTAAATTCCTTTGAGTTAAAAAAAATGATTTGGCTTAAAAAGAAAATCTACTTATGTAAAAATCCTTCACATCTATCATGTAAAGACATTTTTATAAATACATTCTTTCATTATAGCATTTTCTTTTCTATTTTTAAAATGTTAAACATAAAACTAAACAACCCTTTCACATTTTAGAATCTATTTTGTTTTAAAAGATTCAGGTTTCTTATAACAAATTTGAGCTTTCTTTTTAATCTTTACCAGATGTTGTTTATACTATAAGCAATTTTTTTCAGTACCCCATAATGCAATTATTGTTTAATTAGTGATAAATCTGTCATTCTTGGGCTTAAAACCTTAACAAGTACCAAATGTCCTCTGATGCCATAAGTTTACATGAGGTCTCAGTGTCAGGCGGAGACGTGGGGGGTATGCACTACAGGATGCCCAGCTCCGCACTCTGGACAAATCCCTCCAGCTCTAGTCTCTGTGTGCCCATGCTTGGTGGCAGTTTCTTGCATCCCACTGCTGCTCAACCTGGCCTCTGAATAGGAGGAACTGCCATGGTCCACTATTTCTTGTGGTCTGTTTGTGATCTTTTTCCCATTCATCTCCCAGTAGCTTCAAAGCCTGCAACCCATAAGTAAAGATTACCCGGTGCCCTAGGCTTTTCTTTGGAGATAATGCTGGGGCATCTGGTGCCCCCCTGAGGTCAACAATGGAAAGTGCAGTCGAGACAAAAGCCCCACCACACTTGTCTAGTTCACCAAGGCTGAGCTATCCACTCCAGCTCTGGCTTAACTGCATGTATCACATTAGGGCTTAGGCAAGAAGTACACTAATGAAAATGCAGGGAAAGAAAATGCTAGAACACTAGAAAAACAAAACCAACAATGTTGAGGACAGGAGTTAATTCTTTGGTTGTATTTTAGCAATGGGGTTTTTCAGGGAAATTTCTCCTTGTGAAGCTGCAGTGGCTGCCCTCTTAAGAATGGGAACAGACACTTCCTGCCAACAAGAGGAACACACTGAGGTGTCTGAACCTTGAATAGACAATGAAACTTTTTACTGAGCTACCAACTTTTCCAGGTAAGATAACAGTCTCTGACTTAAGACCAAAGTAAAACAAAAGTCCTATCCTGCCTCCCACCACCCACACAACTACTCTTTGGGGTAGCTCTCTGAGGCCCAGCTGTGGTGGCTGCCAGCAGGCGGGTCAGCCCGTGAAGGAGTGCAAAGGAGGGCATGGGAACCAGGGTGCCCCTGGTTCTGGCATGTAGCACAGTGTAGCAGCCAAGCACAGGCCACCCCACCACCCAGCTGGCCCTTTTCACTCAAATAGGGAACCCAAACAATAGCTTTCTGGGCTCCAAACAGAGAACTGTAACAGGAAAACAGCCTCCTTGATACAAGCTCAGCCTGTGCACAGAGCACAGTGCCAAAAGGGATGCATAATTAGCAAGTGGCTTTCAATACTTCTCCTGACGTCAATTTTTAAGGTCAGGTCTGAGGTTAGGGATTATGGTCTCCTGGTGACTGCTCTGTCAAAGGAAACACAAGGCCATCTGTTTTTGAAACTTTTAGTCTGCACAGTAAATGACAAACTGGGGTTAATACCCTGATCTATTTGGGGCCACCAACTGTGGCAGGCAGCCATGATACTGGGGACAATCTAGGGTAGAGAAGCCAACAGTTGAACCTTAAACACAAACAGGTTTGGGAATGTATTTTTATTTCACAGGTCTCACACATGTGCCTGCACACACACCTTGTTTGGAATGACAGTGACTTCTGACTAGTCTCTTATCATTCATTCATTGTCTTAATGGAAAGTGCCAGACCTCTGACATCTCTAAAAGGCAGAAGAACATTCGGGGAGATCATTACACTTTGTATAACTCTTATCTTTTGTTTTTGCTACATTTGGGTAACTATAGAATTTCCAGAACTCATTCTGGATAGTCCCAAGAGATGAGAATATAATTAACAGTGTTCCACACAAAACACAAGTTATGTAGACCATCACAGTTTAATTACTGACAGAATCCAGCACTAATGCAATTGGCATCAGGTTTCCTAGGCAGCAAAGTGCAACAGTCTAGCTGGGTCTTAAAGATCTGATACTGCGCATGGCCCTGTCAATGCTGGAAGATGCTGTGCTGCGATAAATGAATCAGATGATGCAATTAGGAAGCAGGTTCTTCAGGTTACCCCTGTAATCACTCAACCAGGTCACGGGCTTATTCTACCCTGCTGGGCTCAGGATGGTAGAGGAGAACTGCCTAAGCCAATCAGGGGCATCCAGCTTGTTGTCTGTATTGTAATTACCTCCATGAACCTCACGACATAGAGAGGTCACATCCTGGCAATGCCACAATAAATTAAACCAAATAACACCCCCTTAAATCCCTCCCTAAACTATAATAAAAGCTCTGAAGCTCCACACATGATCCTCTTAAACTGCCTCTAAGCTGCGTGACGAGGAAGGTTACAGCCAACTACCAACTCAGACTGAGGTTCCCATAATACAATGTCTGTGGGAGGAACACCTTCCTGTGTTCTCTGAAGGATGGCTTAGGCTGAAGGCTTCAGGTAACAGATGCAGACAAGCATCAGAGAAGAACCAGTAACAGCAAGAAACAGTCAGACAGTCCATGGGACTGGGAAGCTTTCCACTGAGGGAAGATGCAAAGAACAAGCAGCCTGGAAGGAAAGAACCCAGTGTCTTCATTTGGCACTGAAAACAAAACAGGGGATAGATAACATTTGAAATGTAAAGAAAATATCCAATAAAAAAAAATAAGAAAACAAACAAAAAAAGACCACATGTAAGTTCTACTTTTAATAGGACCCATTTGACTGCTCCGACTGTAAACTGGCTGAGACAGTGACAATTGTGTATGCATATGCAAATGAGGGGTGGTAGCCTGGACGTTTCACTCCAAAACCTGACACTGAGGTAAAACACTTTCTTGAAGAAGAAATACTGGTGCCTGCAGATTGCATTTGAGACACAATTTACTAGACCTTGCCCACAAGCATGCACACTAAACAGGCACCAGTAGCTAGAGGCCTTCCTGAGTGAATAAACCCTTTAAAACACTGAGGACTTCACCCAAATTTAGGCCTGTTACTTCAGGAAGCTGGTCTCCTGGAACAGGGGTGGGCAGTTTCCTCTGGACGCTGGCTGGTTTCTTACTAGCACTCTGTGCACAGTAAATATCTTTCATATTTTTAATGCAGCTTTGCTGCCCACGCTGCTTCTAATTACATTTTATTTATGGGGGAAACACATATTATAGCCTGTGTGGAGGTTGAAGGTCAACTTGTGGTAGTTGGTTCTCTTCTTCTACAATGTAGGTCCTGGGGATTGAACTCACATTGTCACGTGTACACCTTTACCCACTAAGTCATCTTACCCACACAAGCAGACTGGTTTTAAACTAGGCTCAATTGATCCTCCCATTTTTGCCTTCCGAGGATCTGGAACAAGTCAGTGCACCACTCTGCTCAGTTTACTGCTTTACACACACAGGCACACACTAGCGCGCATGCGCGTGCACTTTCACACACACACATCCACATACTTCTTCTTATTCTTCTTTTGTGTATCTTGTAAGAAACCAGTTCATTTGAAAGCTACTCTTGTCTCCATTAGCCTGTAACTGGATTAAATGATAACAGGTTCTGCCCTCACCGGGGAAAACAGGACTAAAGGTGAAACTGTCACCAGGTATTGGGTAATGGGTCATATTAGAAGATGTGATGTTTAGTTTTTTGGTATTCTTTTCTCTTTGCGACATTGGTCTTTATCTCTGTTCCTACAGAATCTCACTAACCCCATCGAAGGCAGACACTCTGACCTGCCAGGCCCTGATCACTGCCGGGAAGCCTAGCCACTGGTGCTAAGACTCTTGAAGGACTCTTAGGCTCTTGAAAGAAATGGGGGCCTCTGTATGCAGGAGCTTCACCCAAAAGAAAAGTTAGACAAGTCTTCACTGGTTTTGTTGCCTTAAGCATTTTTCTGAGTTCTTGTTTGTTTCTATTGAATTCTTTCTCCTCATGAAGAGCTGTAAGTCCACTAAGTTTGTATTAACAGGTTTCTTCTTTCCTTTGTCTGCAAGATCCTCAGTTTTAAGCATCTGTTCCTCATGTTGAAACAAAAAACAGTATTTTTTAAAAGCTTATTCTACATCACTGGCCTCTTCAGACCCCTGGGAACTGCATTCTCTCTATATGCCATAGGTGAGGACATGGGCCTGTTTCCTCCTGTGAAATGGGGCAGTGTGGTGGAGCAGGGCAAATGCAGGAAAGCATACAATAGGTCTCCTTAGCAGTGGGGGGGGGTCATACCAACAAACACACACAGATGGAGTTAGGGCACTTCTGATCATAGAAAAGTCCTTGGGCATTAGACGCTTCTAACAAAACAAAAATGTTAAGTTTAAAGATCCTGGGTCTGTCCACACATTTTACTTCTGTCACACTTTATAAGACGTTATTCTCCACAATCCCTTTAAGGATTTTCTGTCACCGAAGCCCAGCACGTACCAGTAATGACTCTTTTATACAGCATTCCATCTTTCTCAGGCAGTTTCTCTTGCTGGGGAAGAGCTTTTCAAAAAGATGCAGTGTTGCTTTTTCAAGACTGGGGAGATGCCGAAACCAGAGGCTGACCACAGAGGACGTGGACAGAACAATCTTTTTCCTTTGAGCAAGAAATAAGCAGAAGGTTAAACAGAAATAGTCCTGCAAAAAAAAAAATAAGCCATGTTCAAATGAAAATTATTAATCAAGTGTGTGAGGTTTCTCACCACAGTCTTGCCAGCAGTCAATATTTATGCACCTATTTGCAAATACTATGATAATCACCCACCTAAGAACTTACAAGAATGAAGGCTCAGAAGATGGAGGTTCCTTCCAAACATCTAAGCAGATACATAGTGAAGAAAAGGAAAGAGGAAAAATGAGTTGAACAAAAGCCCTATGATGTCCATGAAATATGGTCATGAAGTTAAAAACATGTTATGTCTAAGACATTGGAAGTAGTGAAGTTCTAAGACCTACCCTGAATCCACAGCACTAAAGACCTGACCCTCAGAGCCTCCATTTACCGTGTTTAGACAAAAGTGGCTAGAGGGAAGCGATTAGTAACTCCTGTGATGCAGAGCAAGACCACCTTGTGAATCCTCAACAACTGTAAATGCAAATCTCCGTGGGAGTTGGCCTAGCTGGTGCATCATGGACCTCATGTTAGAGCCCACCCATGTCATGTAGCTTTATTTCTGCCTTCTGTCTTTTGTGTGTAGTGTTAAGTGTGTGTGACAATGTGGTATACATGCATTGTGTATTTCTGTGAACAAGTGTATGCAGTGGCCACAGGATGGCGTGAGATCTTTTCCTCTGTCACTCTCTGCCTTTACTCCTCTGAGGCAGGGTCTCTTCCTGAAACTACAGTGCATGGTTGTTTTTCTCCCTTTGGGCTGTGTTGGCAAATAGCACAGGAATTCTCCTGTCTCCATGTGCTACACACACACACACACACACACACACACACACACACACACACACATACACACACTGCTGGTGTTACAAGCGTGTGGAAAAACACTCCCAGCTTGTAACTTGGGTAAAGGTACTGCCAGGGTAGGGGGACTGCTCAGCATGTCACTGGCACCCAAACCTCCTCAATCTTAGTGGAAAGGTATACCCCAGCTTGTGTGGGGCAAACACACAGTCATCAACAGGAACTCCTCTGACTTTCAAAAGTGTTGTATACTAACTTATTAGTCGTATAGTTGCCACATGTCACAGTCACCTTATGTGATTTGCTGATATTAGTCATCGATGCTCCCAGGAGCTAACTGTACTCACACGCTTCTCTCATCAACTGTACAGATGTCTTCCCACACCGATCACCTCTCCATCTCTCTGGATACCATACTGATGTCTACTGCTTCAATCTGACTCTGAGGCCAACTACCCATAGTTAGTGCACCCATCAGTAAAAGACTCATCCACAAAGTCTTTTTCTGAGTCTGCTGAGTATGAATCTTCTGGTTAAAACAGCTTCCCATGATCCTCTCTTCAGGTGTGACAATTTGTAAAGCAGCTCAGAATTCACAACAATCTGTTTATCATAAAAGAAACAACCAGGAATGATCAAACAGAAAAGACCTATAAGACACAGTGGGGGTGCTGGCATTTCTAAGCCCTCTCCAGGTACACCATTCTCCCATCATCTTTGTATTCATCAGCTGGATGCTCATCAAGCCCTGTGGTTTAGCTGATGCATCACTGGCCACTGGAAATTGCACCCAATTCTGGTGGTCACAAATCTGGTTGTTCTGAGGCTAGCACTTATCATGAAGCTTTCTAGGGGCAACAAGACTCACGCCTTATCCTAAACTTACTTATAGCTGAAAAGGGCCTATCATACCGAGATCCATCCATTACCTCTATCACTCAGGAAATCTCAGAAGTTTTAGAAGACTGGACAAAGACCACAGATATATTTCTTACTCTGTCATAACCTCAAAGTCATGCATCCATTTCCTCTTTTATCTGCTTCAAGCACAGGGAAAGAAACCTCTGCACATCGTCATCAGACTCCTCGGTGTTTTTGAAACACTGAATTTGGGTTTAGTTCAGAGGATATGATATCCTCAGTTTCTAACACTCCACAGATTAATCAAAGAACCTCAGCAGCCCTCCCACCTCTGAAAGATTTCAGGCAATTTCCAGCTTGCAGATGCTGGGAAAGGATTCCCAAGGATGAATTTTTTTTTTTTTTAAAGAGTTAGGTCCTACATTTAGGTCAAGAAATTAAAAGGTTCCTCTAGGTTATCTAAACCACGAAGGGGAACCATCATGAGTTGTTTAGAGGAAACAGACTGCCCATTTCTGGAAATGAGTGATTGTATTTGGAAACCAAAGCCAAAGACACCCAGCCAATTATAAAACACAGGAATCCCACTGTGTGCTGTGGTAAGCAGTCAAGAAGCTGAACACAGGGCAAGGATACTTTTGGTCAAAAAAAAACTGGGGTTTCTAGAAGGCCACACAACCCATGTGGGAAACTGTTCAAGCTGGGAGGGGTGCAGGGCGTGGAGCCACAGTCTGCCTGGCTTACTGAGTCAGCCTCCTTTGTGGACATGTGGCGGATGGGCTCTCCACAGGAAAGCATCCATGGAAAGGTGCCAGCCGATGAGGCTGCTGCGTTAACTTGCTGGTCTGAGCTGTTGGAATTGGACATGCTGAGGACCACCCAGCATTTCCGGACAGTCTGTTCCTTGTGGATTAGGAGACATAACTTTCCAAACCAAATAAACTTTATTAGTTGCTGAGGTAGAATGCTCTAGCACGAGAGAAATGAGAGCAAGGGCAGGAGGGTGGGCAGACCCTGGGCTCTTGGACACCTCAGTTCCTGGTTGCTAATTTCTGAAACTGCTATTGGGGTTTACAAAAGATGCCAAGGCATTCTGCTTTAATCTGACTGTTGTCCAAAAAGAAACGCTGGGCACAGAGACACCTCTGCCAGTGGATTCATAGAGATGGAGCTTCTCCTGTGTTGTGGAATATGAAAGGTGGGAGTTGGTGAGAAACCTGTTAGAACCCCAAGTGACTAAACTAAACTGCAGATGACAATTAATTACTCAACACTCATGAATAACATGGCAGAGTTCTCAAAAAAAATCAGACATACTGAGTATACTGTGACAGAAGGATTGAAGAAGACAAAAAATGACTTCCTAATTTTTCATGGTCATTTAAGGATGTTTTCCGTCTGTGTATGAGTGTATGTCATGCTATGTGTGTGAAGATGCCATCAGTGGCCAGAAGAGGACAGCAGACCCCCCGGACTGGGCTAGAGTTACACAGTTTCCCAACACGGATGCTGGGAACTAAACTTAGGTTCTCTGCAGGAGTACTTGTGTGCTCTTAGCCCTTAGCCATCTCACCAGTTCCTAACCTCAGATTTTAACAATGAACATTATGCTTCAGTGTTTCACTTTGTTTATTTGGTTGGTTGGTTTTGTTTTGTTTTGTTTTGTTTTGTTTTCAGACAGGGTCTGGTATAGCCCAGGTTGGCCTTGATTTCTGGCAATCCTCCTGTCTCAGTCTCTTCAATGTTGGGATACAAGTGTGAGCTACCACATATAGTTCTTGTTTTGACCTTAAAAAAAAAAACAACATTAAACAACTTAGCCTTCTCTGGATGATCTGCTTTCATAGAAAATGAAACACTTATTATCTTTTTTTTTTTTTGGTTTTCCGAGACAGGGTTTCTCTGTGTAGCCCTGGCTGTCCTGGAACTCACTCTGTAGACCAGGCTGGCCTTGAACTCAGAAATCCACCTGCCTCTGCCTCCCAAGTGCTGGGACTAAAGGCGTGCGCCACAACCGCCTGGCCACTTATTGTTTATAAATGCTAAGAGTTATACATGGAAAATGGAAATCCTCCACCAGGAACTTTCTCCTCTTTTGAACTTTTTCATTTCCCAAATGCAATGACACAACAGGACACCTGGGATGAAGGAAAACACCCATAGGTGATACCCAAGATTTCAAAACAAAGCAATGGCTATTGAGTTAAGAGAAGGGTACATGGGGCAGCACAGCAAATGTTGCTGGATCAGAGTGAGGCTGAACAGACAAACAGACAGGCGAGCTCATGTAACACGCAAATATGGTAGCCCACACACTTCACACTTGCTGGGGTCTTCCCCCAGATAAAATGACATATCTTTATAGAGATCAAATCACTTTTAGAGTTTATATGGAAGATAAAACAAGCAGCACACACACATACACACATGCACACATACACACACACAAACACACATGCACATGCATACACACACAAACACGCACGCACCACAATTAAACTACAAAGAAATAGAAATGAGAAGAAACCAGCCTTATTTTATTATACACATCAGACTCTACTACTAAAAACTGTTACCAGAGCATGAATACCTAGTTAAGTCAGAATAGAAAAGAGCAAGGCAGGCCCATCTGCATTTAGAAGCTGAGCATGGGCTGAGGGAACTCCTAGGCTATGGGCAGAAGGAGGCTGGCATACTTTACCACACCAGAGATGTCCAAATGCTCTGCAACCTGAAACTGGAGCAACACAACCTACCATTTTAACAAAGACTTTGCAAAACCAACCTACAGACTTCCCCCCCCCCAAAAAAAAAAAGTAAAGAAACTTATGAACCAAACACAATAGTGGGCTTTGAACTCTGATACTAACAGACTAAAAGAAAAATTACAAAGCAAGGGGAACTTAAGTCCTGATTAAATAAGACAATTATAACAAACTAATAACAATTTTATATGCACCAGTGGCATTATAATATGTCTTTTAAATGTTTTACATTCATTTATGTACCATTTAAGTATTTATTGTGTATGGGCATGAGGACACCACAGAACACATGTGGAGGTCAGAGGGCAATTTGCAAGAGATGATCTGTCTTTCCTTCTGTGAATCTAGGTCACCAGACTTGGCTGCAAATACCCTTACCCCCTAGGCCATCCTGCTGGTCCTACAGGTCTGTTTTGAAAAAAAAAAAGCTTACATGTTTAACAACTCCCAGTTTCTATCTAACAACATTTAAATAACAAAGGATTGAGGGGAAATATACTAATAAAATACGTTTAAAGCATAGTGCTTTTAACAAACTAAAGAAGCATAACTAGTAAATATTTTAAAATCATATCAATGTTCTTCATGCATTTTATGTTACGTGATTATGTGAGCATACATATGCATACATGGCACTGCACCCATAGTATGTATACTGAAAAAAAATCATATTAACTCTGCACTTTGAATTTTTAGCATGAAAAATTCTTATCTTCTAAGACTGAGTAGACTATAGAGATTTCTATAAGAAAGAAACACTGTCCAAACCCTGTAGAGAAGTCACTCTCAGCAAGAGGTCAGTGCTTTTCAGAGTCCAGGGCTTTTCAGAGATCCACTTGAAGTTTTTTCTTCTACTATGCTTTCGCCATCTCTGGATACACATGGTATAAATCTTGTAATCCCATTAGTATAAAAAAAGTCAGTTTGCTGTTTTTCTTTGTGCCTACATGGAAATGTAATAAAAGGAAGTGCATATTCCTTTTGTTTGTTTGCAATAATGTGTTTCTAAACTTTTGAAGGAGGCTGGAGAGATGGATCAGTGGCTAAGAGCACATGTATTGCTCTTGCAAAGGACTCCGGTTTGATTCCTAGCAACCACATGGTGGGTAACCACCATCTGTAACCCCAGTTCCAGGTGATCCAACATGGCACACACATGGTACATACACATGCATGCAGGCAAAACATTATTCATAAATTTAAAATAAATTTAAAAAGATTAAACTTTTGATAAGTTTTCTAAACTTGTATCTGAATTTAGATAATTATATATTTAGATGATTATATATTTTTATATGAAATGTCTTATCAAAATACAGTATATATTTTAATGTATAACTTATTTTATAATTTACCAATATTTCATACAAAATAAAATATATATTTGAGAACGGATGGCTGACTTTTAAAGGTGAGATTAAAAGACCTGCACTCTCATCCCATAGCTGATCTGTCAGAAGATGAAGCTTCAGATCAGAGCACTGACTCATGAGGCACAGGCATCTCCAAGGGCATGCGTGCAGACACATGAGAGCAGGACTGAGACAGTGTCTTCTCGGCTTTAGAGCAGTTAACATTCGCTGTCTGTGTCTCCTGCTGCACTGTGCTTACATGCTATTACAGTGCTTGTTCACTGTAGCATCAGTTAGAGACCTCCAATCACGTTCAGTGGCCTCTAATGGTCATTGAGGGTTGGAATAAAAATGAATTTGATGATTTTAAGGATGCTGCAGCTCATTCGTGTCTACCCTAAGTGTGACCCTCCAGACCTGGCTAGACTTGCAGCATCATGGTCCATCTGCTGGCGGTGTTAGCCATGGACCAAAGGCCTTTTCTGTGGAGCTTGGCTACAGACAATAAAAGTGCTGAGTAACTATTCAGACTATCATGGATTTTCTTGAACCACTGTGCCAACAGTGCAAAAGCAACCGCAGGCAAACTGTAGCTGGGTGATCGGGGACACGGGCAGTCACTGCACCCTCACCCTTGTCTGTACCTTCACAGGAAAAGCTGACATAGTCAGCAAGAGCATGGCATGAGCCTGTATAAATATACATCTGTTAATTGTCACTCTTGAGAAGAGTTTTAGAAATTCTTCCTGGTAAAGGAAAACACACGAGATACTTTGCCCATGCCCAGCCTATGCTGGCTGCATAGAGGCACTCCCATGCTAGTGTGAGTGCTTGCCTCATGTGACACTAAGGTCCATGAACAGTGACTTGAAAGAATGACAATCTGCCAGAGTGGTTATTCATGTGGGTATATGGACACATTTTCTCAACAACTAGCTAAGTGACCAAGTCAACTTAAAGAAACAAAACAGGATAGAATCTGTGACCCATGATAGGCATGAAGGGTTTTTGTTCATCTTATTTACTTTAAGACCATTGTACTGGAATGTATCTTCAATCCCACTGCAAAGTAGGCAGAGATAAGAGGATCCCTAGGGCATTTTACTTACTTAAGATAAATTACTTATTATTTCCTCTATGAATGTGTGGAGTGACATGCAAGTGTGCCGAGAGGACAGCTCTCTGGAAACTAGTTCTATTCTCCAACTGTGAGTTCACACACCCACCCAGGCTAACAGGCTCTCGCCACTGACTACCGCCAGCCCAAATTTAAGCTTTGAAGCAGAAATTAGAATTTTGGAAAAATTTTGGCAGCTTTTCAATATTTCATGACATGTCAACAAAGATGACAAAACAGCAGCTGAAAGTTCTCACCGTATAACAAAATATGTCAACATTGGGAAGGTGCGCCTAACATAAGGATGAACATTTTTCAAATTGTGCTACAAAGCCATACAGAGGTGCAAGACCAGAACTGCAAAACAGACTTACAACTGTGTATGTGTATGTATATGTATATGTATATATATATATATATATATATATATATATATATATATATGTACATGGTGCATGTACACATGTAGAAGTCAGATACTAGGTGTCTTCTGCAATTACTCTCCACTTTATTTTTTGAGACAGGATCTCCAACTTGGCCTGGCGCATACGGATTTGGCTAGGTTGCCCAGGAATCCTCCTGCCTCTGTTTGCCTTCCACTAGGCAAACAGGTATATGCCACCGCAATGAGCTTTTTCTATACAAGTGCTGGGAATCTAAAGTCAGGGACTCATGCTTGCACGGAAAGTACTTTGCCAAGTGAGCCAACACCCCAGGCTAGGGCAATAGATTTTAATGTACAAAAATCTCATTAGTATAACCTCAGATCCCATACTGCAACTAACCTTTAAAAACATGACTGTTTCAAATTTAGGTCAAAGCAAACTATCTACTTCTATTTCCAATGGCTATTATGATATCACCGTCTTTCTAATTATGTAACTGTGTGGGGATAGGCATTTCAACCAAAGTTGCTGCTCCTCCTCCTCCTCTTCTTCCTCCTCTTCCTCCCTCTTCCTCCTTCCTTCTTCTTCCTCTTCTTCTCTCTCCCATCCCCTTCCTCGTGTTCTTCTCCCTCTTCCTCTTCTTCTTGTGCAACTCTATGCACATGTCAAGGCCAGAGAAGACAATAGGTAGCCAGCTCTATCACTTTCCACCTTATTCCCTTGAGATAGGGTCTCTCACTAAACCTGGATCTTCCCATTTGGGGGCCTGGCTAGCTGACCAAAAAGCCCCAGGATCTACCTATTTCAACCGCACACCCCAATGCTTGGGCTATAGGTATGCATAACCATGCACAGAGTTTGTGTGGTTGATAAGGATATCAGTTGTGCTGGCTCAGCAAGTGTTCCTATCCACCAAGCCATCTTCACAGTCCTTCATTATTATTTTTAAATAAAGCAATTTTCTTTTGAAGGAATATTCTCCCTTCCCCTTCCCTCCATGTGAAGAACTAAGAATCAAATATTTTCTAAATTTCTGGTTGTCATTTCATATATAACAAAAAATTTGGATGTACAATCCACATAAAGTTCTTTGGGATCCTTAGAAAATTTAAGAGTACTAAAGGGAACTGAGATGGCTGGGGCGAGGGGTGGCGCCTATCAACACTTGCTGCCAAGCACGATGGCCCGAGTTCAGTCACTGGAGTCAGATGGAGTAAAAAGAAAACCAATTCCTGTAGCTTGTCCTCAGACCTCCACACACACTAATAATAAATAAGCAAATAAATATAATAAAGAGAAACTGAAAATATTAACTATACTGCCCTGTGTTTTCTCCATACTACAATATTCTGCATCTAGGAGAGACAAATCGAGAGATAAGATGGATGTACTCACAACAAGAAGGCCTCATTTACAGCTTCAAAGAACTCCGGAGCGAGGACTTCCTGGGGCTCATGTCCATGGTAGGTGAGTAGAGCCTCTACCAGGGGTTCGATATCAGAAAGAGTAACAAGAGGAACACAAACTCGTGACAGGGACATCATGCGCTCAGGAGCCATCCTATTGGAGAAAAGGTCAGGATCTTAAAGCCATATGTAACTGAAAACAAGTCTTCCTGCTGAAAAGAACAGGCAGGTCCCCACAATAGCCTAACGAAGACCTTCTCTAGCATGGTGTGCCACGTCAGCTACACTCACAGGAGGACTTTATTTTGTACAGTTATACGCAAACACACCTGACTCACAAGGCTCCAACAATCCCCCACATCCGTCCATAGAACCCCTATGCAGATACTGGCTCTGGCCTGATCCAGCAGTCAGTGCTGTCAACTCCCTAGCAGCTTAACAACTCCGTCACTATCCTCCAGACTCAGACCACCACCACCGCCAGCTAAACATGAGTGGCCTCCTGACCACCTCTGGCTTCTGCCTTACTCCATGGCTTATCAGCAGGGGACAGTTTAGCAGCCCTCTCAACCTCACATTAGTGCTCACGGCTTTACAAAAGTCCTCCCTCAGTGGCCTCCATGCTCTCCTATAAAGGGCACAAGGATCTTGTGATGTCCACAGATGAGCACTAGGAAAACCAGGAGTGTCAAATATGCAGGCTTGGCTCTTCAATGGAAGGGATGTGTGCTTGCTTTCCACCCAGAAGGCTGGGAGTGGATGTAGTTAATAACCTGGTGACCTTTGCTATCTGAACAGCCAGGCCTCACCAGAATCCCTCAGAATGTTTATCCCAGATCCTTCCTTCCTAGACCCTTACCTAGTGGGTTGGCCGAACGATGCTTGTATTCTAATGCTAATAGTGGGGCCCAAGGCTAGTTGCCCCAGAGACCAGAAAGCCCAAAGGTAAGACACTAAGTGACCCTGCCCCCAAATTATTTCTGATTGGTAAATAAAGATGCTGATAGTCAATAGCTGGGCAGAAGAGAACACAAGAAAAGTAAGTTGAAGCCAGCATGGGTTAGGTGTCAGGAGAACTTGGCCCTGAGGACTGGCCAATTGGAGTTAAGAGCAGCCCAGATGAAACACAGTAAATAATAACTTGGGGCTATTTTGTAGTAGCATAGAGGGTGGGCAAATGCCCAGCTTTTGTAATGTTTAAGGTTTATTGTAAATATAAAGGTTGTGTGTGTCTTTCATCTTGAACTAAAGGGTTGAAGGTGGGATAGAAACCTTGGGCTGGGATTTAAATAATTTCTACTACACCCCTATCCTGAGCATTGTTTCTCAGAGAACAACACATCCTTAGGGGAGATGTCATATACACCTTGTATTTGGTGACCTCTACTTTATCTGTATGATCTAGACCACACCTGATCCTCCCATAGGCCCTTAAACTGCTTTAAGTTTTATTGTCCCAGGTACACAGTTGTGCTAGCTCCCTTGAGTCACAGGAGACTCACATGCTACTTTGTGGCAGGTCTCTGACCACTGCCTACCAATAATGTACTGTCATGTGCAGCAGTCTAAATGAGTTAAGATGTACCCTCCCTTAGCAGTATCTCAGGAGCTGACCAGCTCTGCAGGGCAGTGACTACAGTGCTAGGCAGGAGACTGCAGGATACATCCGTCAGCAGAGAACACTCCAGTGAGCCCACATGCAAGGTTTGTGGGAAATGCAAGGCACTCCTATGCTCACTTTTTGATGTACAGGTTTTTACACACTGGACTCTGTGCTTCATTCAGGATACACAAAGGATCAGCAAGACAGAGAACAGAGAATACAAATCAACAGGCACAGTCTCCTTGCAGATGAAGAAGACTTCACCAAGGGTTTTGAAAGGGTGGAATGCGACTGGCTGTGTATTTGTACAAAAATCAATAAATACAAATAACTTGTGGTTTAGTTACAGAATGGGAATGGTAAATGGTAGTTAAAATGATATGAATCAGACATATAGTATCCAGATATATAAAGTTTAAAAATATAATGAACAAAGAAAGCAAAAATACCTATATCCATGTTATTACTTATATTCTAAAGCATTCACAGTGATATATACACATGAAGCAAGTACACTGAAAGTAGAACCCGAAGGGCTGACAGCAACTCCTCTCGCGGTAGCCCCTCTAGAGAGGGAGCAGTGTAATGAGAAAGAGATGGTTTCAAACTGATATCCAAGCTATTTCCTTGAAAGATCAAATGCAAATAATGTAACATTCACATTGGAAAACCTGGGTATTGGGACATAGATGTCAAACATTTTATAATTGAACTTTTAAAAACTAAAATTCAATGCTATTAAAATACTAAACATGCAGAAATAGTATTTGTAGTAACAGAAGGCATATTTCTTGTTTTAGGTTGTTTGAGATCAGCAAAGATGGCTCATGGAAAAGTGTTCATCCTCAGTCAGTGCTGGTGCTCACTCCTCAGTCCTCAGGTGTTCCTCTTCTACTTGGTACTCAAAGACCACGATCTCCTTGGAAACACTTGTGCTTCTCATTTATTGTCCTAATCACCAGGCAGATTCATTCTCAAGATTTAGTTGACTGAAGAACTAACATGTCTCTGAGCATCTACATCAAACCCAAAAGCTGAAGCATATTATTTACTAACTCAAACAGTTCTGAAACTCTGCAGTAGAAAGAACTGAATGAAACTGAGCCATGACTTATAGGCATGAGAAACTCTTCTGGTCTTTAATTTTACAACACTCAGAACTCTGGTGTACAGGCCAAAAGGTGACAGGACATAGAAAATGTGACCATTATGGCTAATGTTAGAAGTCAACAGAGAGGCTGCACACAGACACACCCACAGTGAACCTACACGTGTTTCTCTGAGCCTCTGCCTTCAGTCCAAGATTAAAAGTCAACTAAATGATTTGTCTCTGTGAGTTAAATTCTTTAACTATTCTTTAAGTAACCATCTTAGATGCCTGTTTTTCCAAAACCATATGGACAAACTCCTCAGCACAGAGCAAAGTTCACTAAAGGACATCCGTGATGACACAGGGTAGGTGAAATTGCTGTTAGTAGTTATTCCTAGCAGCAGCAAGCTGTGCTGGAAAGCACTGGGATAACTCCTAACTGAAACCACAAAGTTCATGCGATGCTCACGCTAGCCTGCCATCCTAGGGACCCTGACACATCTCAAGCCGTCCTCATTTGCTCCACTGAATCCTGTTTAGCACAGTCTTCTTCTCCTATTCTTCCCCCTCAAAGAATTTTATAATTGAATAAGATACAATTTTCCCTGGTAATTTTTCAAATTGTGTTGAGCCAGTACATAGTTTTCAAAAGAAATTCAACTCTCCTATGGAGTTCATTTAGTCTTATCAGAAAGTTGACTTTTAAAAGTAACTTGATGCCTCACATGCTCTTTGAATCTTTTTATGAGCTTTTAAAGTCTTGTAGCCAAAACCATGAAATTCTGTTCCCTATCCATTAAAAATGAAAGATAAGTTAGCCCCTTAAAACCTTGGACAAAAGTCAAACTTCCTGTGTGGGGCATGGGCAGGTACCTTGTTTTTGAGAGCAGGTCTCTCACTGGACCTGGCACTTACTCATTAGATTAGGCTGGATAGAGAATGAACCTCAGGGAACCTCTGTCTCCATCTCCCCAGGGCTAGGATTACAAATATATACCACTATTGCTCAGGATTTTTTACATGAATGCAGGGGATCAAACTAGGGTCCCCCTGCTTACACAGCAAATGCTCCACCAACAAAGGTATTTCCTCAGTCCCAAACAGAATCTTAAGGTACAGGTGCTGTGTGAACTTTAACTTCAACTCGGCAACTTCTGTTCTGAGGCAAAATGGCACCAGGACAACACTTCAAAGACAGCTCTCAAACCTGATAAAGGGAAAGGGCTTCATAGCCATCCTGCTGCTAGTAACAACTGAAGTGTGACACAATCTTACATATCTAAAGTTCTCTGCCAAGTTTTCATACAAATCAGAACCTTGGAACTAGAAACAGCACAGTGGTCCACAAACTTTCTGGTTCATACCTGAATCAAAAAATTGTACCCACTTATGAAAACACACCTGTCATTATTCCTTTCATTAGTATAACTTCAAAAGTTCAAGCTGCCAAAGGCCCCCGAACTCCATCCCAAATGAAAAAAGCTGTTCTGTTCCCTTTGGTTCCACTAAGGGACTCCACTCAATGTTAACTTTTTGTTGCCAGACTATTTAAAGTTCATCTCAGTTTCAAATTCTTCATAAAATGTAGACTGATGCCCTGAGTTCAGAAGTGGAGATGGTCAAAATTTAGTTTTAGAGAAGCTGATACAGTCATGTGACTAAAAAACCCAACAATTCAATTACAGATATTTACATCCTATCCAGGTCTTGCTATAACAGCTACAAGGTGTGATGCTGTGAGCCTTCCAAAAAGTCTTCTCACCGTGTAGTCCTGTGGCTTGCTGTAGAAAGCTGGGAGGCTAGAGATGGAGGGACGGTTCTAGCAGTGGGTGCTTAGCATCAGGCCTTTTGCAAGTCAGTTGCTGCACAGAAGTCATTTGGAATACTGCTCTGGCAACGAGTCAAAGCCTAGCGCTTACTGTAATGCTGTCTGGAAAGCTACATAATTCCCTCTTGAATTTGTATCTCCAGGTGTCTGACAAGCCTCAGGCTGGATCCACATAATGCCATGAGCATCTTCAGAGGGCTATCTATTGGCCTGTCTGCATTTTGATAAGCCCAAACTCTACCTAATTTTATAGGAGACTTTAAATGTTGTTTTGTTTTTCGTGACAGGGTCTCTGTGTAGCTCTTGTTGTCCTAGAACTTGCTTTGTAGACCAGGATTCAAACTCAGAGATCTGCCTGCTTCTGCCTCCTGAGTACTAGAATTAAAGGTGTGCTCCACCACTGCCTAGTGACTTTAAAACTGTTCAGGCGATTTATCATGGACCTCTTCCAGCCTTGCTTGTAAATAACCTGTATCTTCCTAAAATCAAAGTCTCCTCAGGTGATAGCAAAACCAGCATTATATCAACCTTTCAAACCATCATCTTAGCAAAACATCTCCACAACTTCCACATCTTACAAAATTGAAACTCTATCAACCTAGAGCTCCTGTCTCCCCTCCTCCTAGCCCATGG